ATAAAGACGTTGAAATTATGATTGACCCAATTGATAAAATTATCGAAGAAACATTTGTTTATAAAATTGACATGCTTCATAATCTTTCTTTATCATCGAATGCATCAATGATTCGTTACGCGTTAGCATATAAGAACTTCAATCCTAACGAAACATATCCAGAAGAAGATGTGGAATCAAGTTTTGAATTAACAAAAAAGTATTGGAAATATAAAATTGATTCATATAAGAAACAAGATGAAAAGGCGAAAAGAGATACAAAAATAATGTTTCAATGGATGATTTTCAATACTATCACGATTTAATCCTTTCATCTAAATGCAAAATGTGTGGTAAAGCGTTTACATATGTAAATAAACCAACATTGGATAGAATCGATAATGAAAAACCACATACCAAAGAAAATTGTCAGTTAATGTGTTGTTATTGCAATGTCGTAAAATCAAATAAAGATGAAGATGTTCAACGTTTAAGAATCAATTTAAGAAATTATGCATTAAAAAATAATTTACCAATGACTTTAGATTCAGTTGAAGCTTATCACATTCTCCGTAATGGAATTACTGGTGGTCTATCAAATGTTCAACATCGTGTTAATCTTAAAGGAATCACGCACATTAATAAACTTTCATATAATCCAGAAACTAAAACTGTATCAAATGAGGACACCACCAACATTATGACTCATTTCGTTGGTGTTGACTTTAATTCATTATATCCTTCATCATTTTCATCTAATCCTCATGATTTCATTCAATATACTGACCATAAAATGTATATGCCGGGAAGATTGAATGGTGTTATCATTTGTGATACAGCAACAAAGAAAGCAAAAGCACTGGGAATTATTAGAAAGAAAAATACTTTATTCGTGGCTGAAGTAAAGGGTCACATTGATGAAAAATACATTAATGATTACATAAACTTTTTACCGATAATAAGAAACTTAGATATTATCACAGATGAAAAAACAATTGGCAGTTTTATGTATAATTACATGAAATCAAACAATCTACCAGTTGACCAGAAACAGAGAAAATTAACTCAGTTAGCATCAACACACAACCAATATCAACCATTTTCTTCTTATTATCTTTGGTATCTAATAGACAGATTTCATTTTATCATTGATGATATTCAATCAATTTTAACATTTACGAAAAACACTTGTTTTAATGAATTTGCGAACGAATTTATGAACGAAAGACAAAAGGCTGAATTAGAAGGAAATAAAGGAAAAAGTTTATTTTGCAAGATTTCACTTAATGGATCATATGGTTACGATGCAATGAATACACAAAATTACGCAAAGACTAAAATAATGAATGCACAGAAGGCACGCGTTGCATGTATGTCAAATAAGTTTAAAAACATAAGAGAAATAGGTAGAAGATACGTATCAAGTGATGCTTAAAGATAGATTTTATAGATGTGATACATGTTTACAAGAGGCATTCTTCACTTTAGATAATGCTAAATACTGGTATTTGGTTTTCATTTATGATTTTATGTATAAATGCATGAATGTTAATCGTTTTCATTTCATTGAAGGTGATACTGATTCATCTTATTGGGCAATCGCTGGCGACCCAAATCTTCCTAACACTCAAGCATTTCAAGCAATTGTTACCGATAAACAATTTTATGATAAAAACATTTACAAATTCGCACCTTTTGATTTCTTTTGTTTTGATGAGAAATTTAAACCTAAATTAAAGAATAAAGCTGAAGAAAAAGCACATGAGAAAAAATTATTGGGTTTAGCAATTGAGAAACAAGGTGATAACATGGTTGCTTTATGCCCTAAGTGTTATACATCATTCAACGGTTCAATTGATGGAAGTGATTTTAAAAAGATTGCACAAAAAATGAAAGGAGTTAGTTTACGACAAAATAAACAATTAACACCTAAAAATTATTTGGATATAATAAATGATAAAGTGATATTTGATGGTCAGAATATTAATTTACAACTTAAAAACGGGTCAATGACTCGCTTAACAATCGGTAAGACTGCATTAACAGGAGCACACACTAAGGCTGTATGTTGTGAAAATGGATGTTGTATGCCATTTATTTAATAAAATACCACAGAAGAGACAAAAGGAACCGTTGAATGATGGGCACCCTTAAACACTTATTTTATTTTTATATAAATGGATAACACAGATTTAAAAATTTTAATTGATGATTTAATACTTAATCAAAATTTTCTTGATTATTATGAATTAAAATCATATCTCCAAAAATATGATAACAATATAACGGGTGATGATATGGAATATTATTATCCATATTATAAAAATGAAATTTTGAAATATCATGATAAAATAATTTCTAAAATTAAAGACAAAATTAAAAATAATGAATATTCAAAGGGAAAAACTAAATCACAGCTTAAACAGTTGAAAGATTTCAAAAATAAAGTATTAACAGAAGAAGATATTGATGAATTATATAATTTATATAATCCTGAGCCGCAAAAACCAAAGGAACAAAAACAAAAGGTGCAAAACGCCCAGGTCCTTCAGACCATAAATGAAGCACAAGCTTTAATTTATGATTCATTAGTTAAACCATATTCAGCCCGACTTTTAAATGAAGATCAACTTTTGGAATTCATCCTTCAACATAAACTCGAAGCGGGAAAGTATATCAAACCTTTATATACAGCATATTTAAAACAAATGAATAGAATACATCCAGAATTAATGAAGGAGGAATGAAATCCAAAATCAAAGCAGATAAAATTAAACCACTTGCAACACCAAAACCTCTAACGACAGTACCTCCTCCTCCTTCAGTTAATCCTTCATCATTCACTTTATTGTATCCATTTCAAACATTAAAGAACAAAAAGATTTTAAAAAGGTTTCAAGATATTAAATAAACCAACTGACCCGAAAATTCAACCGTTAAAGGAAAAATTTAGTCGCCCTTCATTTGCTCCATATCCATATTCATACGAAATCGATCATCTGGAATATTCAAAAGGAAACGTTACTTATTTATTTGCCATTAACATTAACACTAGATATTTATATTGCATTCCAGTGAAAGGGAAAACAGAACAGGAAACAAGAAGAGCTATTCAATACTTACTAGATCATGAAAGAGTAGATAATATCAGGGGTGATGGTGATAAAGGATTTCAGGCAGCTATGACTCATTATTTCCCACAAATTAATTTTTACTTTTCATCCTCTCCATATACGTTTCATAATAAAATAGTTGATGCGGTAATGAGAACTCTTAGAGATGCGTTAGGGGTTAACGGTCAGATATACTGGGATGGAAATCATGACTCCATCATACAACAGTTAGTATATTATTACAATAATACATGGCATAGAACAATAAACATGAAACCGGTGGAAATGAAAAATGATATTTCAAAAGAATGGGAATATATTAGAAAGCAAATGGAAAGGTTGAATGATGTTAAACGTGAACAAATTAATTCGGGGCTCATGAATTTTAAACAAGGGGATAAAGTTTTGATTCATCTCGATTATGGAAAAACTGATAAATCAATGACAAAAAGAAGACGAAGATTTGACACAATAGCTGAATTTGTTAGATATATTAACGGTAATGTATTAGTTGAAGTTGACAATAAATTAATAGAAATTCCGATTTATTTTATTACTCCATTATATTTAAATAATATTTAATTTTTTTATTTTGTAAGAAATGAGTGACAACAAAGCAGTCAAGAGTCCAGACGATGAATATAAAAAGAAACTAAACAGAATTAAATCAAAAATATGCTATTACAAAAAGAAGCCGCAATGCGGTGGGGTTGAAAACGATAAAGAGAGGAAAGAAATAATCGAAAAATTAGAAACTTACCGTTCAATCCTTAAACTGAGTGAAGCAAAAATAAAAGAATTTAATAGAATAAATAAATTGATTGGAAGAGATGAATTTAATAAAGATGAATTTTTAAACTCAATCCAAATTTAATTTTTATTCCTCTTCGACAACGTCTCTCTTTCCATCATTACTGCATAACCACATTTTCTCAGTTTTAGTGGTTTGTTATTTTTAGCAAGTTCTCGCATCATTTTTATCGTTTCCTCCCTTGTTATGATTCGTGGTAAATTTTGAGCTTGTGGGGTATCCATTTATGATAAAAATAAAAATTTGTTATCACTTATTTTATCGTTAATGGTTTTAGGTTATTCAATAATTCATAACTGCCTTCCTCCTGTGATGTTGTCAAAATGTCATGTTGTCTCATTTTTTCAGAGAAGTTAATTAACCTGGTGACATGGTGACGTGGTGACACCTTCAGTTCTTCAAAAATAATTAATTATTGAATAACCTAAAACATGAGACTTTGTCTCCGGACTCTTTGAGTCACTTAACGTAAACATTAACGTAAACATTTATTTCTGCAGTTCATCCATTACTTCATTACCTAATTAATTACAGACATAAAATATATTTAGTTCATTCATTGAACTCTATACCATGCGTAAACTGTCATAAATGGTGGCATGTATTCTTTACTTTGTCCCGTTGTTTGTGTATATCCTAAAACGTGATGTGTATGGTTTCCTTCTCCCTGAGTGTCACTCCAGTAACAATTTATGGCAAACTTAACGTCGTCTTTAACATCATATCCTTTACCTTTTGTCATTCCTGACCAATCCCAATATCTATGCTTATGCCAACCCGCTTGAGATGTGCTTAAATCTATGTAGTGACTGTGTGCAGGTAAATTTTCACCTGTAATCGTTTTACTTCCACCTGTTTCCTTTGAAGAGTTTGCACAATACAAAAACCTGTCGACTATTTGTTCCCATGCACCAACACCAAACATTGCTTGAGGACCTCTTGCATCCATAGATGTATAAATAGAACCTACTGGGTTCATTAAATCAAACATATGAGATAATATAGGATTGTCTCTTTTGAACTTAAAATATAGTGCAACTATTTCAGGTTTCTTCTGGTTTGTGTTAGAATATTTTTTATAATATAATCTTATGTTTTCAGGGTAGGTAAAATCTTGACTATAATATTTATTTTTGTCATCTATATAATAATATACTATTCTCGTTTTTTCTATTGCATTATATCTTTTATATCTATAATAATCTAAATATAATGTTAGCTTTTGTTCATCTACATGTGGTGTTCTGACATCATCTCCATAGTCATAATAATATGGTGCTGGAGCTGGGTCAGGCAATGTCATATCTACCATTTCATAAACTCTTAAATATTTCTTTTGTTCGTCTCCATATAAGTTTAAGTAACAGTTGTTGTCTAATGGAACTTTAACTTGTGTACCATCATTCTTTATATAGCTTACATACATTTCATTGTTATTTTTCGGAATGAGTTTACACCGTGCACCATTTCTTAAGGACTGTACAAACTGCCATCCAAAATATTTATTTTCTTCATTGACAGAAAAGTCACCAACAATAGTTTCAATATTTTCAGTTGTTCCTATCAAACTTTGGTATATTTCGTTGACACAATCCTTATCTGCCTTCTTCTCTAACTCACTGTTGACATATTCCTTATCTGCTTTAATGTCTAAACATTCTGAAACCCACCCTGTATCAGCTTTAGATTTTAAAATATTTGATGTCCATTCATGATACCTTTCAACCCTTTCTTTAATTTCATTATCTTTTTCATTAACATATTCCTTATCTGCCTTCTTCACTAACGCACTAGCCACACAATCCTTATCTGCCTTCTTCTCTAACTCACTAACCACATATTCCTTATTTGCCTTCTTCTCTAACTCACTGTTGACATATTCCTTATCTGCTTTCTTCTCTAACTCACTAGCCACATATTCCTTATCTGCTTTCTTCATTAACTCACTAGCCACATATTCCTTATCTGCTTTCTTCATTATGTCATTTAGGAAACCTTTTATGAATTCCTCATTTAAATTAAATCTTCCAATCTTCAAAACTTTAGGAAATGCATTTAATGCGTAATATCTTTGTTCTTCTGGTGGAATTGATGTTATATCATCCGTTATTCCTTTAATTTTTGAATTCATAAATAAAATTTCTTTTATATTTGATATCACTGCACCACCTTTGCAAACGAATTCGAAATGTTCATTTTTCAATACTATCTCCAAATCTCCATATTTCAACCTTTGCGTTTGTTCTGCCGTCTTTGAATTATATGCATATATGGCGTATGTAATGGTCTGAGGGACCGGTGCTTTGTGCCTTAAGTTTTGTTGTTGTTGTTTAATCATTTATTATGATTTAAAAATATTTAATCTGTTATCTCATCAGCTATTTTTTCTATTTGAAATTGCCATAATATTTCATTCATGAATTCTAAATCACAATCAAATAGGTCAGTTATTCTAAATTTAATATTTGATAAATCTTTTGAATGAAGAATAAATGAATTCCCGGATAATTGAAACGGATATGATAAAGAAAATGTGTTTAAGTTGATGGATAAAATGTTTTGTATTGATGGGTAAGAGTTAGGGTCTAATGTTTGATGTGAAAATCTCATTGGGGTATTAACTTTATCACATTTGATTAAAATGAAATTGGAACCAGTGTCAGAATACAAAACATCCCCAACATCTTTTTCAAAATTTAATATCCCCAACAATGAACGAAGATGAGGAGTACAAAATTTAATTTTCAGCGGAAATTTAATAAGGTTATTTATTTCATCAAGTTCAAAAAGTTTATCAGGTTTTGATTTAAAATTTTCTTCATACCATACGATAAATGATTCATTTAAATAACTTAAAATCATGTTAATATCCCATTTCGCTATCACATTATTTATATACATATCATACGTTTTTTCATGGTCATCTTTAATAAATGATATATAATCTGAAGGGTCTAAAAGAATGGGATTAAATTTACCACTCACAGAAACGAGAGTAACATTATAAATTCCGCAAACTGTTAAATTTAATTCACACTTATTATTCGAAATAATATTGATAATTGACATTTTTATTACGATTAAAAATATGGTAAAGCGTTATTTTCCAGTGATAAATAAAACTAGAATAAGATTACCTCAAGAATTCATAAATTCAACGAATAAGAAATTCATTCATGTTATAAATTTTAGTGTTTTCAGAAAATATGAGTCGATGTCATATTCATCAACGGGTTATATTTCACTTCATTCAAATTTAGTTCAATCAAACCCATATAATGACCATTTCATAAGATTTTCAGATGGTATTAAAAATGTAATTGATAGATTAAAATATGAACAGATTGACAATATCGAATTTTTGGAATTTTGGTTTAAATATCCTGATGGAAAAAAGATTGAAGTTAAAGATAAAGCTGATACTATAACAAAAACAATTACAATGACCGATCCGGATAGTGGGGAACAAAAAGAAATAAAACAAACGATAGAAACTGGTGAAAGGTCAATTATTATTGATTATGATTCAAAGGATTATTATTCGATAATGTTAATGCTTGAATATTAAATAGCCTTAACAAAGAATTTTTCAAGTGATATTTTATATTCATCAACTATTTTATTATAAATATCATTATATGTTAAATGAAGTTCAGTTGTTGTTCCGTTCTTTGATATCTTAATTGTGCTAATATCCTTTATAGGATTTATTTTTGCAACTGTTCCGCAGCATGAAACCTCATCATCTATGAAAAATTGAATCTTAACGTCTGAATCTTGAACATCACAAAGAATGGCGATAATGTGAATTAATGATTCATAAGGTAAAATAATTAAACCAGATTGATCAATTAAATTTATTATTGAATCATAATTATCAGTTATTATATCACGGTAAATTTTCATTAATTCAGAATTAATGTCTACTTTATATGGCGCATTGCGACTGGAATCGTAGATTCCTGGGTTCTCGATGTTTGATGAAAGAGGTGGGGGTATGTTGGATATGTGGGATTTCAACGGGTTCTTTACCGGGTTCAGATAAAATGATTGGGTCTTCATCTTCTTTTTTTGCTCCTCCTCTTCTTTGGTAAGTCACGAGTTAATAAATTTGGTTGAGTTGCTGACCTTGTTAATTCAGGACTAACATTAACTTTAACATTTTGAATAATTCGTGATTTATCATCATTTACGTTATAACCAACCGTAATCTCTGCTTTTTTTGTGTTCTTTTGACTTGTGAAACGTCTTCTCATTTATAATTGAATAAAAAAAAGAAAAATATATTTAAAGTTTTATTTAGTTGTTACGGTAATATCCCAAGGTTCATCCTTGTTTGCTTATACTTTCTTTGTAACTGCACCAATTATGTTATTGATAATGATTTGAGTTTCTCCCAGTCTTATTTTATCATTTACAATATCTTTAATCATTTCATTACATGCATTCTTAAAACCATCTGATTTTTCTAATTTACGTCTATCACTTTCTTTAATTAAATCAAAGTTATAACCTTGTTGAGAATAAAGTGGTTTCTTTATCAATTCCTTGAACGCTTCTGAAAGTGAAGATGAAGAAATTCTTGCCACTTGAATTGGTTTAAATTCTGCTTTCATTGCTTCTTTCTGTTCATTGAACACTGGATCGAATAAAGCAACTTTAAAGAATTTCTTAGCTGGAATTTCAGGTCTCAAATTTGCATATTGACCATTAAACTGGTTAGAATATCGTGGTAATCCATCCGGTCCCTCTTCAATAGCATTTAATTCTTCATTGAAATAAGAATATGGATTATGACGGTATGAATTAATTGGACCATTTTCACCTTCTCCAATGTATTGTTTAACAGCTTTTCCATTTTCATCAAATTGCATAGGATAACGTTCATTATATGCTTTACGTTTAGGATAATCAGATACAGTTAATTTATAACCATTTATGACTTTAATATTTCCTTGACCATCAGTAACAAAGACTTCATTTATTCCATCAGGTTTTCCATTTGGACCCGTAATGTCTGCTTCGTGTGCTTCCCAATTTGGTCCATGACGTTTGGCATATGCTTGAGCTTCTGGTAATGTTAAAACGTTTCTCATTTGTTTAACATCCTTTTGAAGACCGGCAACAATGTGGACTTATTCTTTCATTCCGTCTGGAACTTTCATGGTTCTATTATATGCACCCCTTTTGTTTGTCCCTTGTTTTAATGGAACCTGTAGAAGATTTGCAATTTCTGTCATGTTTAATTATAAATAAAAAATAAAAATTAATTATAAAAAGTTATTCGAATTTAATGGAACCTTTATTTAAATCAACTATTATTTTTCCATGTTCTCCTAATTGTTGATATTGTGTGTAAAGTTCATTAATGCTCATTGGTAAATTCACTTGATAAAGCATAACGTTCAACTGTTGACGACTAAAACCACTGAAAATGAAAAGGGTGGACAGGTTTGATTTAATGTTTGTGCTTAATGCTTTAAAGTATTGAACAGCCATAAAGAATGAACATTGAATATGTCGACATTGAGTTAATAATTGATTAAAATATGATTTCTCATTAGTTATTAGTTTTGATTTCACGGCATCATCTAGAAAAATTAGTGAATGCAAAAATTCTTTATCAAAATTTGAAATAGAAAGTGTTTCAAATAATTCATCCCGTTGTTTATCAATAATTTTATCCTCTAATCCTTGCTTCTTGATTGTATTATATAATTCTTTATACATTAAAAAGTTTTTTAAATAATCTTCTGCTTCTTCTTGTGATAAATAAATAATTGGAATTTTGATTAAATGCTTTAAAGATTCAAATGTATCATCTGAAGGTGAACCTGAACGGTTGATATAAATTAACACATGTGAATAGGGGGAAGTGTTAGCAATAATGATAATTTGTTTTAATATCGTTAATGTTTTACCTTTATTTGTTTACCAATTGCTGCAGTGATTGAATTTAAGTAACATTCAGAATATGGAATTTTCATTAATTTTTCCTTAGATAGAGCATTTCTATTATCACTCAATGCTTCATTAATCATATCATCTACGTATGTTATATACTCCTGCTAATTCTTCATAAGGGTGGATGAATTTAAATCCATTTAATCAAAAATAAATTTATAATTTTAAACATTTCTATTCATCAATATTTCATCATATGAACTTCTATACTGTGGTGGTGTACCTGTTGGATGATATTTCAAACCTTCTTCCGGTGTCCATGTCCAATATGTAGTCCTAGTAAACCAAACCTGAGGAGGATTTGTCACCTTTGAACAGTAAGTGTCATTTTCACCCTGAATGATTGGATAAGCTTTCACTTGTACTGTAACTTGTGAGTTGAAAGTTTCTAATCCATCAAAGAATATACCCGCTCCATCACGTTGAACTGGAATAGTGCATAAGAATGAAGTTTGGTCTTTCCATGTTCTAGCTAATGGCGTGCCATCATCTGCATTCAGTGGTCTAGTTAATGAGTCCTCGTATTCTTCTGTGCATTCATTCACTCCATCTAAATCAGAAGCTTGAAGCATACGTGTAAAGAATATGTCACCCACTGTGGTCATCGCTTGATCGGGGAAGTTTCTGGAATCTATAGTGACCTGAAGACCTCGAAGCATTGGATTTTCTAAAACTGTTCTTTGCATTGCATTCTTCGGAAATTAACACAACATCTGTAACATTATGAAGAGCGTATGAGAAATCTGAGCTAATACCTTCAGGAGTGATGCAACCTCCATTTAGTGAACGAACGTCAATATGTTGAGCTGGAATCATGAATGGATCTTCCTTACTGAATAAACGTGGTATTGCTTTAACTGATTCTTCAATTAAACCGTATCCTGGTGTAATGCATTTATCCTCTAAAACTTCCATCTTTGTGCATGAAATAATAACGTCATCAACTGTTGCGTCAGCAGATGTAGCGGCTAAGCTTGTAATTAATTTGGTAGGAAGTCCGATTTGTTGGAATTTGCGATCATATTTATAAACATGATTCATAATCTTTTCATAATTTTCATCAGTTATCTTTTCATAAACGTAATTTTGTAAATCAGCAACTCTTAACGGGTCAACCTGACAAAATACTAAAGTATCCCTGAAAACATAATATTTAAGAATGATATCACCAAATGATTTAGGATAATCATCGAACGCCTGAAATGCTAACAAATCATTTACCGGAATAATCATATCAAAAGTGACATCAACTTCTTCATTTGCTTCTTGAAAACTTCTGAAGGGTCAATATATTTACCACATACTGAGTTATCATATTTTTGAACATTATTATATAACGAATGAACAAACTTTTTAACTTTCCTTTCTGATTTGGTTTATATGTTGCAAATGCGAAAGATTCATGGCGCAATCCATCTGAAGATAACCAGCATCACCTCTTTCGGTTTCTACTTCTAATTGTTTAAAGCTTTGATTTGATGATTTGTAACCAACGAATAAACGCATGCATTTAAAAGCGGCATCACATGTGAAAGCTTTATTTGAAACTAGAGTTGCTTTAACTTTGCGTTTAATATATGTGTCACCTAATTGGTTCACATCATGAGCGGATTTGTAATTCTTAAATGAGTTTGTTTATCATCAAAATATGGAGTATCAGAGTCATAGCATGAACTTTCAAGTTCTCTATAATATCTTCTACCGTCATTCTTTGCGAATATTTCATTTATCTTTTCGAATGAATGAAATACATTTCCATTAATCGGTTTAGTGTTTGGCACCAAATAGTTAGTCGTCATTTATTAATAAATAAAAAATCAAAATTAAAAGATGAAAATGAATTTTTAATTTTAATGAAATAATCAACTATGGCTGCAGGTATATTTAAGAAATTATGGGATAAAGTAAAAAGAGGAGCGAGTAAAGTTTGGGAAACAATGAAGAAAGGAGCAAATTGGATATTTAAGAATAAAGAAGCAATTAGTGACGTTTGCTGAATCAATAACACCAAAAGCTGCCCAATAAGAGAAATATTAAATAAAGGAGAAAAAGTTTATCAAAGACTTCAACCGATACTAAGATAAAAATAATATTTATTTATTTTTCCACTATCTACCTCCTATTTTATTAAGTATTCCTTCAGCAATTCCACCAACTGCGTTACCTGCTTGTGCTCCCATCGCCGGATTACCTGCTTTAGCACCTAATACTCCACCTATGATAGTTCCTGCCGTTTTCGCTACTGGTGCCAAAAAGTTTGCAATGGTTTAATAATCTTTTGATGAACCCAACCCGCAGCTTTCTTAATTCCATCCCATAATTTTTTAAAGAATCCTGCCGCCATTTCTGATTTAATATTAATTAAAAAATATATTTCATCACTTATATTCTAATTTTTATTTAATGATAAATGAAACGATTTTAAAAATAAATGAAACAGAGAGGAAAATAAATGAAAGTGAAAATGTTCAACAAAAAATAAACGTTGTTAAACCAATTACTGAAATAAAAATTTTTCATCTGTTGAAAATTTAATGATACTATTATGCTAACAATAAAAAATTATTTGAAGAATTGACAACATGTAAATTGAATAAAATGTTTAAAGTTGATGGATTCAAAATTTCAAAAATAAAAGGGTGGTTAGTTTGAAATCTATTCCTCAATCAAGAATCACCTCATTAATGAAAATAGATGATTTAACAAAAAGAATAGAAATTATTGAAGAAGCGAATAAATCAAATTATTGATTTCATAAATCATGACTCGTTGAGCCGGGTCCTTAAAGCCCATCACTGAGTTCAAGTTATATTCATCAAATATTTCATTATTAAATGCAACTTCTGCTAGTTTATTTTTTTTTCAATACGATCATTTGAAAGTCTATCGTTTAATTTTTTCTGAAGTTTTTCATTTCTAGTTCTGAAACTTTATTTGATGATATGTAAATTCATGAAATTCTTTGCCTCGGTTTTGATCATTAATTTAAAAGAACTTTGTGGTTGGAATTCGTTTGAACCATTTATTATTATATTCTTATATTCAATATCTGGAATTAATTCCCAAATTTTTGCATTTTCAATTAATTTATTATCAAATGCAAAAGCAATGGGTTTAATATTATGTTTACCTTTAATAATATAAACTTCTACATAATCATCGAAATAAACATCTACTTGTTTAACATTTTCAAGAATTGGTGAAAGAGCATCCATTAATTGATTGACGGTTACGAAATCTTGATCCACTCATTTTCTTACGAATTAAAAAAATAAATTATTCAAAATGTCAGAAGAAAATATTTAAATAAATTATTTAAATTTTTTTACTCTATTCAAGAATTTTATTTTTGATATAACTCATTGAATTCAAAATTTTTTAAAAAATTGACACCATATATAACCAGTAGAAATTCTGCCAGTAGAAGTTCTACCAGTAGAAACTTTACTAGTAGAAGTTCTGCCAGTATAAACTCTACCAGTAGAAGTTCTGCCAGTAGAAGTTCTGCCAGTATAAACTCTACCAGTAGAAGTTCTGCCAGTATAAACTCTACCAGTAGAAGTTCTGCTAAAGTATTCAATTTTGAGGGAAACAGTAGAAGTTCTGCCAGTATAAACTCTACCAGTAGAAGTTCTGCCAGTAGAAGTTCTGCCAGTATAAACTCTACCAGTAGAAGTTCTGCCAGTATAAACTCTACCAGTAGAAGTTCTGCTAAAGTATTCATAAACACCTTTTTATATCTTATTTACATCTAACATGCACCAATTTATTTTATAACTTTATTAATACTAAATTTTATTTCATACAAAAAGTAAAAATTCATAAGTTATATATTAATTTAATAAATTATATTATCATTTATAATAAAATTTTTCGAAATGCAGATAAATTTTAACATGTTCGAAATGAAACTATTATAAAATATATTCTTTTTATTAATGGTAATATAGGAATTGTAGGAATAAAAACTTTTTATAAATTATTCATAAATTTTTAAAATCTGCTATTCGGAAGTATGTTCAAAAATCATTCAATTATGTGAGAATTCTTACGATTACAAAAAAAGTCACACAACCCGCATCATATACTACTATTATTTTATACATATCACAATGATGGTAGATAAAACTATTGTGATATTCAATCATGTGAACCCATTTCTCTAAAAGATATCAACCATTCAATTTATTTGCTGAAATATTCTTCTTCTAGCAATGAAAGTATTCAATTTTCTAGATTTGGAAAAATTGAGACCCCTTTCGTTTTGCCTGAATTTGAAAATTTTGATATCAAAAAGGTTAAAAACATCAAATTAGCTCTTTAATATTAGTTATTTATACAGAGAGATATGCAACCAAGGTATTTGTGCTTGTTTAAAGTCGATTATGCAGTGCTGCTCTTTTTTTTTTTATAAATGTCTAGCGAAAAAACTCAGATCCTCGGAAAAACAGAACTTCAAAAAATTATATCACTCACTAGGGAATTTTTAAACAAAGTTATCGAATGCATTTATTACAGCCGCTGTCCTGGCGAAATTGCAGATTTTAGAGAAGATGATTTCCAATTTTCCTTAAAAATTCCAAGGTCTCAATCACTAAGGCAATTAACATCATCACATAAGATCCATGGATTTGTAAAACTCGATATAATCATTGTAAATCCAGACAAATTGCTCGAAAGATGGATTATTGAACATCGGCCATTATCAAAACAAGAAAGTGAAGTATTTACGCAGCATTATTCAACTGAGGAAAAACATTTAATTTATCAAAAATTTTCGAGTTGTTTAAGAAGCGTTTTTTGTATATTAAACGCCCTTCCTGCACAGAGTATCGCGCTAAATCTCAAAAATTATACTGCTCAAGATAGAAAAATTTCTGCTTTATGCGGAGATTTCAAAATGTTAGAAGATCAAAGATTTTCACTCGACGAAGGGCATACAAAGCAAGTCGCTCTACCGCCTGTTTTGACTCCAGTTGGAAAAACAATTATCAGATGTCAATATCTAAAAGAGCCAGAAAAAGAACTTGTGCCTATTATTAATATTACAAAGGGTACTTCATCTAGTAGCAGTACGAGCGATAGCGTTCAGCCATTACAAGTTGAAGAGCCAAGTTCAACATCCCCTGCTTCTTACGAATGGTACGGATATGATCCAAACGTCCCAGTTGACTACGGTTCTTATGTTACATCCCCAATGGAAACCGAATTTATTAGTCCAGATGAAAATTAACTGTATTTTTATCATCTAGACTATTTTATATTATAGTACATGTACTGTTTGCATTTGTATGCAGTTTTCTTGATTTTTTTTTATATTATTGTTATTATTTTAAATTAAATCTGTCTGTATTGCAATAAAATGCAGTTTTTCCAGCTTTCGCATGTGACCCTTATAATAATAGGTAAAAAAGAACTCAAATAAAAAAATATTTTTTTTACAAACAAAAAATAATGACTGAAAGAATTACATATAATTATCATTGGTCTGTAACTCTAAGATATCAACAATTGAACGGATTTCATCCAAAGATGATTTAATTTCCTTAGAATTTAATGAAAGTTTTTCTTGTATCGACGATATCTCGCTACTATAATCTTTCTTCTTTAAATTCTCAGTGATTTCATCTGATTTTGTAAGTGTTTCTAAAGCTTTATCTTCAGTTTCACGAAGAACAACAGCAATATCATCTTGATTTGTTGCTGTTTCTTTAAGTTTAGTCTTAAGATTGTTTATTTTATCGGATATCATTGAAAATTGTAAATCTAAATTTGAATATTCGTTATTTAGTGATGAAATGATTCCTTGGGCATCTCCATATGTACTGTTGAACTGATTGGATAAATCTGGTACTTTGTAAATTCTCTCACCGTTTGCATCTACATCTTCATCCTCTAAAACCTCAAATTCAGTAGTTTTTTGAATTCCAAACTTGCTTTGGAATCTCCCATTTACTTGAATATCGTTTTCGCATCTTTCTATTTCTGTTTTAAGTTCTTTTACGAGAGTATTTAAGAATTCTGAATCTTTTTCAACTTTTGATGTGTCAAATTGCGGAACAAGTTCGAATTTAGAGCTTGAAGACTTGGCAGTATCAAATTTATTGCTGATATTTGAAATTTTACTGAGAGTGTCGTTGTAAATTGATTTCTCTTTTTGCCTTATTGCTTTAATGTGATCATCATCCTCTGGTTCTTCAGTTTCCTTGGCAGTTATCTCATCTTCCAAATCAAAAAAGGATTTTCTTACATTTTCGAGTGTATAATCACGAAGTTTTGTTTCTAAGTCATATAAGGAGCTTTTTTCGTCAACTCGATGCTTAAATAGATTTCTGCGTTCTCTGTCTTTATTAATTTTGTCTAAATCAGTTCTAAATCTATAAATATCTGATAATAAATTTTTCGGAACTAAATTATCTAATTCTGCTAAATTTTCCTGTGTTGTTTTAACATTTGGTTCAAGTTCTTCCATTTCTTCGTTGATTTGAACAATAAGAGGATCAACTGCCACAGAACTTGTCGAAAACATTTCTTTTCTTGAACTCAGAAAAAACGTATTTTTGTCACTATCGGTGTGGAGTGCCAATTAAATGCATTTCATTTCTGCTTGTGGAATTTTAAAATAATACATTTTACTTTTTAATCAACTAATAATAGCACTAGGTAGAATTAGCATAAGGAAAGAAAATGAATTTTGGCACAATGATTTATCTGAACATTTTATTGTGCCAATAATGGTGATTCTTATTGCTCCTTTGTTTCTATTTCCGACACCATATAGATTTTCAGATCCTGAATCGGAATAAAGAGGCATCATATTGTTTCCTTGAATCATTGTTGGATTATAGAACCTTATTCCAGAATAATGGATCGATGATCTTGATGGGCTTGGATTCTCATTTAACGAACTATTCAAGGCAACACATCCTTTATATCCAGATATAAAGGAACTACCTCCACCACCCGCACCCCCGAATTCTATAGAACCGCCACTATAATATCCATTTCCTCCGATACCTCCCATATCTTTGGAGTTATAGTTCACCGGGGAGATACCAAATTCTCCAGGAATTCCGACCATAATTGTATAAGTTGGGGCGGCTTTTCCACCAGATGTCTGAGTCCCGCCCCCAGATATAGAGTTTGGACATGTATTTCCGCCACAATATGAGATGCCTTTCCCTCCCTCAAGGCCGCCTCCATGCCCGCCAACAGAATTAGGCCACTCAGCGCCTCCACCGCCGCCCGCAACCAGGATACGCGAGCGAAGGGAGAGAGAGTCAGACCAATCAAACGATTTGTTCGCATACAATCTCACATCGGAAGAACCTCCTCCGATTCCAAAAAATTCATTAGAGCTCGGTTTATATTTAAACATGGAATTAAAAAAGGAAATAGAACCTATAAACAAATAAAGTGTTAATGAACGTTTTACTTCTAACACGCCTGAGGAATATCCTCCAAGGCCAGGAATCGAATTGCCGCTTGGAAGTTGCTGAAAAGAGCCAGCAGAGCCCCAAGCTTCAACAAGAAATGTACCACTATTGAGGTTGACAGTATAAGGCGTACAGTCTTCTCGGCTATTATCACAAGGGTATCCAAAAGTATACTGATTTTCGGAAATTGTTACCCTATCTGTGCCAATTGAATCTTTTGATAGTTTGTAATTGATCATAAGGCATAGATAGGAATTTTAATGTTGAGTATGAATGTTTTTGTGATTAATAAATTTGTTTGAATCTCACATATTTAATGGTACAGGGCATTTTCCAAGACATTTTATTACCCGGAGAGTTTTATTGCATGCAATGCATTTCCAAACATATAATTATTGATAAAAGGTAAATAATTTTTAAGGGTGGCGGAAAGTGATGTGACCGAATAACAAAAAGTGAAAATAACTAAATAAATATTTGAAATTCTTTTGTTATTGTAGCATAACTAAATAGTATATATAAACAAGTCTTTACTACGAAGTTTGTATAGTCTGAAGTCTTTATCTGGTAGAGAAATAATGAATGAAAAAATGAATTTTCAACTGTATCTAGTCTCTGGTTATTGAATTAATATCAAAAATACTTAAGGTATGCAATATAGGTACACAAATCTATCTTTTCTATTGAGCAAAACACGTATCTATTAAATTCGTCCAAGATGCAATAAGTGACGAGATCTGGAACTACTTATCAAATTTGCACAAAATCAATGTATGAGAATAAATAACATATAAATACCAATTACTTCCGATACTTTTCGTTACAATTTGCTCCCACTCAGAGTTTAATTAGATTTGTATCTAGTCTTTCAATATAAGATAAGGAGTCTTTCTTCATATTTAAATATATAAAAGCTATTGTTATCTATATTTTCTATTGAGTAAATTTTGTGTTTAAAGCTCCAATCATGAGATATTTAAAGTTTTTTACCCCTATCAAACGCATAATTCACTTATTTATCATAGAAGGGAAAACCAAAAGCTTTCATATATGATAATGAAATTATGACACACATATACTACTACAAATGAGTTTTGTATCCATATAATTTTTTCCAAAAGATATCAAAAAAATGGCGAGATAATAACATTTTATTTTTGGTCATTCACTTCACTTTCCGCCACCCTTAAATCAAAATTTGCTAATTCAATTTTGAGAGGGTATTTAATTAAGATTTTTGCAGAGAGTTGTCGCAAAATTTAGTATAATATGGAAATCTATTACTATGATTTATTTGTCAAGCATAATGGGAACAATTGCTATTAAGCAGAGAAATTATCAATGAAACTATATCTCCAAAATAGAAAAAGGAAAGGAACAAATTTGTTCAACAAATTCAGAGTTGAAGTTTTACGGAAGAAAGATGAGCGAGCTGGCAGCTTGTATTTGAACAAGGGAAGAATAAATGAAAATACAGCGGCAAATATTTTGTAAATAAAAATAGTTAATATGAATATGTTTTCTTACAAATGTTGCGCAAATAAATACTAATATTTTGAATTAATTTTTTTTACTTTATTTCTAAATTGGAAATATATATTTATTTATGCTATAAGTCCTTTTCAAGATAGTAACAAGATATTGATTTATATCTAAATAAATATGTAACTATTTGGTTTATCGTGCGCCTGACTTAATAAGAAGTTTCATAATCTTTCTGTAGTTGTCATTCTCGTGTTGTTTTTCTTTTGCTATGTCAAGTGGAGTTTCGTCATCATCGTTTTCATCACTAAGTTTGACACGAATTGAAACTAAATATTCAACAACATTGAAATGTCCTTGCTTCACTGCCCAATGAAGTGATGAATCATTATTTATTGTTTTATCATTTTTATTGCATCCACATTTAATGAAGTATTTAACTACTTCAAGATGACCCATAGCTGCTGCCATAATTAATGAAGAAAATTCGTTCTCAAATTTTTGATCAGGATTAACTCCAGCTGAAACAAGATATTTAATTATTTCAAGATGACCTTTTTGTGATGCAACAAGGATTGGAGTAAATCCCTCATTATTTTTTTCATTCGGATTAGCTCCATTTGATATAAGATATTTAACTATTTCAAAATAACCTTTTTGTGATGCCATGTATAGTGGAGTAATTCCCTCATCGGTTTTTATATTTGGATTAGCTCCAATTGATATAAGATATTTAATAACTTCAAGATGTTCTTCTTGTGACGCCACAAATATTGGACTAGCGCCATCTGATTTGTTTTTACAATTCTTGTTAAATCCAATTCCAATTAAATATTTTACAATTTCAAGTTGTCCATAAAATGATGCTTCAATTAAAGCATTAAAATCAGAACCAGAAACTACATCTCTGTCACAACCTCCTTCTATAAGAGATTTTACTAATTGAAGATCTCCTTGAATACATGCATAAAGAAGTGGATTGACTTTATCTTTAGATCTCTTTTCACTTAAACCAGCTGCACATGAAATAGACATTTTCAATTTATCTACTTTATTTGAAATTCTTTCAAGGAAAAAGTAAACATCTTCAAAATCAGAATTCGTTTTTAATTTAGCAATTTCTGCAAATTCATTGATTGATTGTTGTAACTGACTATTTTTGTTGTTAAGTGCTGAGTTTTCATTTTTAAGTTAATCAATGTAATTTTTCAGATTTGATATTTCATTTTTGCATTTATTAGTTTCATCTTTATATCTGTTAGTTTCATCTTTATATTGATTAATTTCGTTCTCTAAACTCATAATCTTTGCTTTTAAGTTTTGTATTTCATTTTGTAATTTCGAAACTTCTTGAGAATTTGTAATATTGTCTGCCTTGTATTTCTCTAAGTAATTGATTAAACCACCAGATGATTTAAGTTTCAGGTGCTTTTTGTAACTTTTGAGAACGTTAATCAATTCTTCTAATGAATTAACTGAAATGGTACACTTTCGGACAAATCCATACATTTTAGATGCATTGTATTTTGTTTTGCCTTGAGAAAGAAGAGCTTTGAAGGCATTTGAATTTAGATTTGTTTTCTCTATGACTTTTGGGATATCTTCTTTTTCAAGAATATCAAAAAAGTTTTCTTGATCAATATATGATTGTATGTTGTTCGCAATATAATCAAAATCTACAGTAAGATCTCCAGTCATGAGAAAAATCTAAAATTCGTTACTTTTTGTGAATTCTATTACAAAAATCGATATTTTTGTGAGTCCATTGAAATCATTTCAAGTGTTCTTCACGAAAATACATCTCTTCTATTAGGATAACAACATTCTTTCACTTTTTGAATATAATTCAAAAAATGTCGTAAATGTAAAATGCATTTTACATTGTTTACTTGAATTTTTATTTTACTCAACCGGAAAGATAGTTATTTCCCATGATGTAGATATATATAAAAGAGACAATTATCAAAGAACCCCTCTTCATGAAGCAGCAAGATAAAATAGCAAAGAAACAGTAGAAGTTCTTTTTCCACATGGTTCAGATATTAATGCCGACTATATTGATAATAAAACTCCTCTTCATGAAGCAGCAATAATAGCAATGATATTGCCAAACTTCTTATTTCCCATGCTATACCTTGTTTAGCAAAACAAAATCCTTATTTGCAGTCAAAAACCTTGATTATTTAGTTCTATCAACTATAATTTTTATCTGACCATATTACTATATTTATCTGGCAAATTATTCTGTAATTTGTTGAAATGGATAAAGTTCGAAGTAATTCATTTGATGAGAGCCCTCGGAGGAACTTCACAACAAGGTTAACGATTGTTTGTTTTCAAATACTTCAGATAATTTTAAAATTCGTAAAAAACAGAAAACAACTTATTATAAACAGATATTTTTTACAACTAATAAATAAAATTAAAATAAGAATTATGAATGAAAATAATTGATCAATAAGAATTATTAATCATAGATTTGTTGAACGAGAGTTCCTATCAATGGCATCTCCAATTTCTTTGGATTTAAGAGGTTCGTCTGGTTTGTCTTCTGTTGAGGTTTAATTTCGCTTTCTTTCACCTTATTTTCAAAGTTAGTCAGCATTGCGACACCCTGCAAAGTCTGTCCTTCATCCTTCTTGTCAACGAGCTGGAATCCTCTTTGGCAAATCGGACACCAAGCACTTTTGGCGCATTCCGAATGGAAAACGTGTCCGCACCTTGCTGCATACGCGTTACAAGCACATAGTCTTTGTCCACATGTTGCACAGCGTTCTGCGTCGTATTCGTGGCCATTACTTAATTTCTTAACGAAATTCAACTGAGCGCAAACACTTTCGTCCTTTACGATGTGAGAGAATGTCCTTGTGAACTCTGTTTTCTCTCTTATCGTCTTGAAAACCCTTGAAACCAAAGATCTTGAATCTTTGAACGGCAAAAACGAGAAAAGAGTTGTTAGATTCTGGGTAACGAAGACAGGCTCGACAACTAATGTCATTGTTTGTATGAAATCTCCTAAAAGATTTAAGATATTTTGGCGTTTTGTTGTATCATCTTTAATTGCGTATAAAGGGAGTTGGAATACGCTTAATAACTTAACCCAATTCTCTTCATAATCTGGATTGGAACTGATCGAACTCAAAAAAGTGACAATTTCATTTACAACATTTTTGTCACCTCCTTGTTCCATAAGAGAATTGAGCAAGTACTCGGAACTGAATGTTACACCTTTATCTATTTCCTGAGTGAGTAAGCATAGGTACAAAGCGCTGTCTAAAATACCTCTTTCCATGCAAGTATTTAATAATTTGTCTAATGGTATGGATTTCATATTCTTCAGACTATCAAGCAATGTTTTTGGCTGGTATCTAGCAAGATTCATTGCATAGAATTCGGAAGATTGCTCATCAGCCGCTTCATAAAATTCTTTATGGTTACTGAAGATTCTATGAAGGAAATGCCATGACAAAGCATGCGAATCTTTTAAGTTCTTGTATACCCGTATCGTCAAATCGCTCTTACCGTACTCCCAAACCATTTCTGTGTATTCATCCGGATTTACACCGAGCAAAGTCTTACAATGCTTAACGAGGATCTTAGAGATTGTCTCGCTATCATTGTTAGTCACCTTCTTAAGCTCGTTTGCGAATTCTTTGACCTGATTTTGGATAATAAAATACAATAATTCTTCTGGATCCTTGAGTAGTTCTATGATTTTCAGTTCGCAATCTGTGAACCCGGCGCTCCTCGTCATGATGAGATACTTCCTTAAGTCCTTTATTTGGTTCGTTTTGAGTAATGCGTTCAACATTTCCCTTCTAATCGAAACATCACTTTTTGAAGGAAGGAATATGAATCTGTTGATCGCATTCAATGAGTTATCGTCAACGATAATAGAATATTGGACAATTTGTGGAATCAAAATTCCCCAAAACGTGGAAGAAGGGTCTAAACTAGGAATTATGTGGTTGATGATGGTGGAGATGGAAAATCCAAGGTGTGGACTCAGATCTAGAGCGATTTGGAAGATTTGGAGAGCAGATTGTGAATCATAGTTTACAAAACCGTAAAGATCGACCGTAGAAAGGAATTTAACACAATCTTGTTTCATTCTGAGGGCAACCGTGCTTGGATTTTGAGGCATTAAGATAGATCTGATTAAATTATGTTCTTTCTCGTAATTTTTGCTGTATTCGTATACGAGAAGGGCCATGTATATATCAGAGCAATATTCTAATGCTAGTTCTGATATCAAATCAACGAGACCTCTGTCAAAACAAAGATTAAAAATTGTTTGTAGCCATTCTATGTTTAATTCGACTGATGTTAGGAATTTAATAAGCTTCTGATCATCCTTGATGCATTTTGCGGCTTCGATAATGAATTCAAGTGTTAATTTCCATTTTGTAATTCCGGATTCGATGAAAGCCTCCAAAATTTGCTCTTTTTTATCCGTAAACATCATCTGGACAACGAAATCAGTCATATTCATCCTCTCAACGAACTTGAAAAGCTCTTGTGGATTGAATTGATCTGATTTTACGTATTTTTTAAGTAATCCTTGTAAATCATCGATATCGTCTGGCTCGGTGATCTGTGCTAATGCCATTGGCCAGTTATTTTCTTGTATATAGTTCTCAACTCTTTGACTTATGCTTGCAATTGATAATTGAATCAATTCCGAGCCAGCGACATAAATTTTGTCCTTGAAAGCAAGTGATGGACCCTTCGGAACATGTCTCCTGAACCTTCTTTCGCCTACAGCCATTTCGCAATTTCCAGAAAAGAGAACTAAGACTGAATTCTCACTTAGCATGGATACAACGTTCGGAGTTTGAGAGAACTCAACAGTTCTGATAAGAGTTCCATCGTATTTTGATATAATAACGTTATGTCCAACACCTCTTGCGATTAACTTTGAATTTGCTGTTTCTAAAAAGGCGAAGCATGATGTACAAGTATGGTCGGTCCAATGCGATCTAAATTCTGGCGTTATTAAGTATGCAAGTGTATGAGTTGATGTTGAAACGTATAAAGCATTATCATGATAGGCAAGAGCGGTAAGAGGTTGTTCGAAATTGTATAATATTTGTGTTGTGACGCTTTTCTTGAAGATATTTTGAGAAACAGTCGTTCTTGATAAATTGCCCATCGCATCTGAATGAAAAATCGAAAATGCCGATCCGAAAGCGATGAATGATATTGGTTCCGATGTATTGGTGGATATAAGTGATGTTTTTGATTGTAGAGACCATACAACAACTTCACCATCTGAATGACCTGTAGCGATATGCGTCCTGTCTGGGCTGACATCTGCACAGAGGACTACATTCTCTTCACCTATAAGCTGCCTTTCTAATTTAACAGTTGATTTTGTCTCAAAATTAAATGTAACTATGGTTTTCGATGAAACTACAATCGCAATAAGCGGATAGTTAAATGCAATAGCCATAGGTTGTCCATCAGGCATGGGAAATTCTTTGATTTTGGTGATGACGATGAAGTTTGTTTCTTCCGATTCCGTCATCTATAAAAAAAAATTTATTATCAATCAGAAGAAAGCTATAATAGTTATAGCATAAGTTATTGAGTTTTATAAAAATCGCAGATAATTTATATGAAAAACGCAAAGAATTTAAAATAATATCAGAGATTTTAAACTCATTTTCATGGTTTAAGAATCCATAACTTACGAGTACCTGAATATCTAGAGAATTTCATGTTAAAAATTGAATTTGAAAAAGAAATTTATGAAAATAAGTTTATAAAGCAAAATAGTTAAAAATGTAATTGCACTAAAAGTTTCTAATTATTCATTTCTTCTTTTTTATCATAATTACAATAACAACAAGAAATTAAACTTCATCAATTACATTTAGAGCAGTAGCTCATCTTAGGAGTCCATATGATGATGTAGAGCTATCGAATTTAAGATCTTTTGCGGTGAAAACGCCTACTTCTTTTGAGAATTCACCAGAAATTTCTGGGAAGAAGAATTTGTATGAATTTTCATCGCCATTGGAATGGACAACAATTTTTAGGCTTGAATATGATATTTTCGAATTAGATTTGTAATTTTTCAATTCAATTCAAAGTTTCTTGGTTATTAGCAATCCATCTTTGTGCTTGATCAATTGTTCCTGAAATATGAGGGACTTTTATGTTTGCTTTAATTCCATGAATTTCTTTGATAGTATCTAACATTTTCACGTAGTTTGTTGCCCAATCACGAGCTACTCTTAAAACACCTGTAAATTTTTCTGGTTGCCATACAACTAAATTAACAGAAGTTAAAACGTTTCCAGCTCCAAAATCTCCGAACATATCAATAAATGGCTTCGCCAAGCTCTTTGGAATACTATAACCATCACCAAAATCTGCAGCATTAGGATCTTCTGGTATTATTTTGAAGATAATATAGCGATGTTTAACTCGCACCATTTTATTTCATATCACATGTCAAATAAACAAGAGCAGAGATTCCAAACTCATTTTCATGGTTTGGGCAAGCTGAAGTCGACTCTCTAATGATGCTTGACGATCCTCGAAGTCTAAATTGTATAAATATTATAAATTCGAAGACAATTTCTATTTATTAATGGAATATTGTCTGGGTGATCTTCTCAAGCTTATTGCTTTCGACTTGTTTATTGTTATTGTGTCATTTAACACCTATGAACTTAATTTAAGTTTATAAATTATTTCCGAAATCTTTGTGATCATTGATTTCCACATGTCAAACATAATATTTGCTTCTTCTAATGAGTTTGAAATACATTTATATGTCAAATTGCAAATACAAAATTTAATGTCTGACCAAGACATTCATCCAAATAAATACGGCGAATTGCGAAGTATCAATAAGCATTACATTGATTCATGCAATGCACTGTATCAGCTGAAAACTGAAAAAGAAGAAGAATTAAACTCAATTTACAAAATGATCAAAACAGAATTGATTGGTTCGAAGAAGCATCTCGCTGTAAATATTATAGCAGATGTTTTAAATATTATTCCGTATAACAATCGCTATAAAAGGTCATATTTATTTCTTGCTAAACTCATATATGATGAATATCATATAGAAGAAGTCAACAATCTCATGAATATTTCAAACTTCTTGTTTTACAAAGAATATGGAATTCAATTACACAAATTCAAAGATTTCGGAAAAATTAACTCAGAAAATCTCGATATTCAAACAGAAAATACAATTTACAGAACAATTTTGTATAACTTCAAATATATTAATAGAGTACCATGCAAATACTGTAATGACTTCTCGTGTTTTTTAGATAATCTCTGTCATATCTTTGATTTTTCTCATGATATTGAATAATTTCTTCTCCTTTTAAATTATATTTTTACACAAGTAAATTCTATTATTAGAAATGCTGAATAATTGAGAAAAACCTAAATATTTGCAAATAGTATCTAATTTTAGATAAATTCCTTCACAATATCATAAAGGAAGAGATTCCAAATAATATTAATATTATTAAGTATGAGTGTGCGAAAAAGGCAACAATTTGATTCATTCAAATTTTTCAATTTAACATATGTTTTCTGAGAATTCCAATACGTTAATCTAATGCCACTTGAATGATCAGTATCACGTTTATCTGTATTCATCATACCTTTCCTGCAATATATGTGGTTCTTTGAAAGGTATCATCTGAAATTACTCAAAAAACATAATTGAAGTCAAAATAATCGTCAATTTTGTTCATAAGAATATATAATATATCTTGCTAATTTCAAAGCAATGCCAACCCAATTTTTGACTTGAGACATATAAAAATGTTGTTGTTTCAATTAATTTGCCTAAATTATAAAGGCTATGAAGTTGGTCTCGGGTTTTTCAGTACAGACAACAATATACTATGGTCTAAAAGATTACCGGGAATACATTCTTGTTTCAACGAAGAAGAAGATGAAATAACATATTGGCAAAGATCAAAACTATTCGAAGGATATGTACCACTTAACTTTGAAAATGCTACAGAAGTAAATGAGACATCAACAATTACATTATGCTCCTTTAAATTTTATAAGAAACGATATTTCCGTCAATGGGACAAAATCAGCAAAGAGTTACCTTATCTAAGCTTCCATTCTATATATTCACAAGTTAAAACAGATGCATTTACGAAAATTGATGATCAAATATACTTTTATTCGAATTATTTAATTTCTATTGCAAAAGGATCAGATCTCAAAAATACATTTATGAATGTTACTTCAAATAATCCTGTTCTGATCAATAAAGATTCACAAATTAATTTTACAATTTCAATTAGAATGTCAGATATGGAAATCCCTATCCCAGAAGCTAGGGCATTTCCTTATATGCAATGTTTTGTGTTTGTTTTAGCCATAATCTTTGCAGTCATAATAAGATTTTTAATCCGAAGACGATATCAATCAATAACATATCTTAATATAGTTAACGTTTGGACTCAGAACCCGCATATCTCAAATCATCTTCTCTTTTCATTCTCTGGTGCTCATCTTTTTTCAACTTTGGTTTTATTCACAATTCTCAAAAATGATAACCAGAGTCCGATTAACACCATGACTGTATCATATGTTTTGTCAACAATGGTCTCATCTTTTCTTTCTTCCTTATATCATTATGTAATGAAGGACCCTTGCTTTGACCCGGACTTTATGGCGCCATGTATTGCTCCATTAAACTTTATAAGCTTATTTAACCTTGCAACTCTTTATGTTCAATGGATAATTTTTGGATCTCAAATTTCTCCTGGAATTTTAGGCGGAGCAACATTCATCTTAGCTATTTTGACAACTTTATCTATATCCAGAGCTATTGGAAATGCTGTTTATATAGCAGCACCAAAAAGTTGGCAACTTAAAGAACAATTTCCATCAAAATCGGACAAAATCAATCTTCGCATAACTGATATCCTTATTGTAGTTGTTAATGTCACTATCCAAATGATTTTTAGTTCAAAATTATTCTATCATATTTTAGAAATGCATATAAATCTCATTTCACTGGATTTGACACTATTCTGGGAAGTTGTATTGATATCTGGTGCTATTTCTGTTGTTTATGCAGCTCTGCAAACGAAAAATGATCTTAAATCAGAAAGGCAATTTTTATATCCTTACTTGATAGTATCGGCTATTTCTACAATAGTATCCGTTATTTATCAAGTCTATCTTGTCTTCTTCGTTTTCAGGGTGAATATTTTGGAAATTTTCCGTTTAGTAAGAGCCGTTTACGGTGTTTTGTTTAATGCCGGATTTGTTCTTTTCTTTCAAATGTTTTTCACCTCATTTACTTCATTTTTCATTGTAATTTCGATATTTAGAACTCATGAAAAATGATTTTGTGTTTAAAAATAAAGATAATATATAAATACTCATAAATATTATTTATTTGGCATTCTATCTTCATTTGAATTTTTGTTATTAAAATTATTGAATTTTATTTAAATCTTTTATTCATCAGGGATGGCGTCATTTAATACTTTTAATGCATTGAAAGTTCTTGGATATCCTAAATATGGAACTAATGAAAGAATCATTTGGATTAAAAACTTCTTATTGTTTCCAACATGAATGTTTGCTTTGATGTGCTGATTGAATTGAGGAGCGGCATCACCATGGCCAATGAAAATGCATGAGAGCACAAGTTCTCTTTCTTTAACAGTCAGAACTTCTCTTGTATAGAATTCACCATACATGAAACTAACAACCCATTTTGCCATTGGACCCATAGTGTGGAACTTTTCCATTCCTGGTCCAAATGCTTCTGCTTGTTTTTCAATTCCTTTCTGTAATCCTTCTCCTGGAGCAACCTTTGATTGATTTTCAAGTGGTAAATTAATGTTTTTAGCCTTGAAAATATCATTTGTCAACTTCAAGAATGGAAATACATTTGCAATTCCAAGGATGTATGCTGCTTCATAAAGAACTTCCTTAACCTCATTTGGTGTCAGAATATTGTCCAAAGACATTTCTAAAATGATTGGAAAGTAATCAATGGCCTTTGCTCCAATAAGGGCTCCAAGAATTCCAAGGTATCTTGATTTATCATCGATTTTGGATTCATTCTTTACCATTAACTCGAATCTCTTAAAGAAAGCTGTATATTCTGGATCATTCTGTTCTATATCATGTTCCGTCGCTTTGTAACTCATTGTTGATAATGAAAATATGAGATATCTAAGTAAAATGAAGTGTTATTTCAATTTTCTGACATTCAATTTAATTCAATGAATTATTTCCCCAATGATATTTGGGAAACATATTTACAATGTTTTCGAAATTTTCCTAATAATTTTATTCATCTGGGAAAAAATTCTTTCAATTTCAGAAGGTGATCCCCAAATTGATGGGAGATTCTATGATATTCATTAGAGCAACTTATCAATGGATGAAACTAATGTGGCATAAAACATGAAAATTATTTTGAAAAAATGAATTCCATAACACTAAATTTTGAAAAAATAAATGTTTATATGAATTTTTGATGCACTATTACTATATAGATAATATCTTTTGGATCATAATCATTAAAAATAACAAGTAATCATATATATAGTAAATTTCGCAATCTATTGGAATTTAATACGTCACATGCCGAAATATGGTCAAATATTCAAGTATTTTCGCTCATTATAGGTTTTTAAATAGAAATACCCAAAATAAAATGAACGTTTATCATTTCTTCATTAAGAGCAGTGAGTATTTAAATATATTCATGAAATAAAGATGTTGCTCTGCGAAAAAAACTGATATGCTAGCAAATTTATCCAAATATTCTATATCACAGTATTTGGCATTTTTCTATCTCGCTTTAGTGCCATGGCAAGACATTGCAATTGTTTTGTCTGAGTACTCAGATCGGAAACTTTGTCCGCGATGTCACACTTTTGCGTTTTGGTTCCAAACTTTTTTTTGAATCTGACATTTGTAAACAGTTACGTTGTCAGATTTATGACTTTACAAATGTCAGATTTTTCGATCTTGTCACTCTCTCATAAAATAATTAAAGAAAAGCTTTATCATAATAGTTTTATTATATTAGTAACATTAGGAACCGGTGTTGGCGAAGATCCACCACCAGATTTCTTCATCTTTTTTCCAATAATAATTCCTCCAAAAATAATAATCAAAAGAATAACGATGATCATATACCAATAGAAGCATTTTGATGATTGATGATGATCAGCCTTTTGTAATTGAACATTTCCTTTCTTAATCTCTTCAGCAGCTTCTTCAACTTTTCCATCAATTCTATCAAGCATAGTACCCTGCTCAACAAGCACTGTACCAAGATCAGCGAACAATTGGTTCAGCTGGTTCATCATTCCGATCAAATTAGTTAATTCTTCATTTCTCTGACGTAACATGTTTTCATTGCTCTTTACTTGAGCAATTTGTTGGTCTGTAAAAGCAACATCATCAATATCATCAAGTACACCATCATCATTGTCATCATCTTCAAATCTTGCAGCTCTGTCTTTCTGCTTCTTAATTGTTTTGATGTAATCGGCTTGCATATCTCGGAAATGAATTGTTATATCTCTTAAACGAGCTGAATAACCGTATTGCATGTTATTTTGAATTGTTCGACTCTGTTTTGAAAGATTTGGATCTGTAATACGAATAGCATCGCGTAATTGTTGGATTTGAGTAGATATTTGTTGGGTTTTTGCTTCTATTTCAAGATCGAGCTTTCTATCATTTCCAAAATCGATTCTCTTACGTTGTTTGTGCATATCTGCAAGATTTTGAATTTCCATTTGAATCATATTGAATTTTGTTTCAACCATATTTGATTTTTCAACAACGTTCGATGAAGTTCCGAATTCTGGAGCCAATGTTGGATTTAATTCGTCTTCAAGTTGGCTTTTATATGAACCGCGCGATTTAGCTGTACCAGAACGATATGTCTTATACTGGGCAGTCCTGTCCCTTAAATAACCCATCTGTTGTTCCTTCTCCATGCAAAATTTCTTGAAAAATTGATTTTTTATGCCAAGTAATCCCTTCAAAATATGATCTGTGTCTCTCAATTCCTGTCATAATGGCAGAAATTAAGAGGATACCTTTTGCTATTAAACATTATATTAACATATATAGAAAACTATTTACACCATTCCAATTTTGGGGAAAAAAATGAAGATTTCTCACTTCTAAATTTCTGCTTTAGCTGTTTGTGATCAAACATTCCACCATTCACTGTTTCTTGCTAATATAAGCATATTTTGGCTCACCGAAATTGAAGTATTTGGCATCATTAGAAATCGAATTTGTTATCTTTCCCTGAATTTGATTAGTTTTCATCCGATTCAATTTCTTTTATTCATCAATATCATAAATGTTTACAGTAAAGATATGTAAAGTTACGAATTTTATTTTCCTTATTGCATTCAGATCTTTCAAATTCATTCTGTTTCATTTTGCTATGATTTGGTACAAAATTCTTCAAATCTAATTATGTATCATATGGTGCAGGCTTATGCTGATCTACAAAAAGTGTTTAACCTTTTGAGAATTGCATGATTATAGTACGCGTTAAGAAAATGTGAAATGTATCGTTTCTTTTAATCATAGATATATCTGGATATCTTAGTCTATTAAAAACTTTGTTGAAAACAATACATTCAGTGTTGTCGGAAGATATGACGATGGCAAATTGATATTCTTGACTACTGATGAATATTTTGTGTAACATATGATATGTTGATTTTAAAGATCAAATTTTTACTTTGTCCGAGTTAAACGGTCACTTTTTCGCAGATCTTTCCGAGTAAATTCTAAACGAATAGAATATACTTAATAGCATGTTTTAAATCATATCACTGTTTTATTTTCAATTCAAAATTTGAATTTTCGATTGAATTTTTATCATTTTGCGAAGCAATTTTTGACGAACCGCTTTCCAATTGAAAAAAATCAATGTAACGATTTTATTACTCTGATTTTCATAAAAAAACTTTATACGAATCTCCTATATTTGTTAATATAATTCTTTTACTATAACTTGATTTTACATTGAATTTTTTCCCGGATCATTAATAAAGTTCTGATTAGTTTAATATTCTTTGAGAAACTTATGTTTTTTGAATATCTTCTCAAAAATTTAAATGAAATTTTTTATTGTATTTCAAATCAAATCGATGATATCTCAATATCTTGTTAATGCATACCTTCCTTTAATAACAGCAGCAAGCAATAATGGTTTCGAAGATTTACCAATGGATATTCCAAAACTCAGTAGCACTGATATAACTATCATTTTAACGTTAACAAAGGACATTTTTAAATTAGAGCCTACATTGTTGCACATCAATCAAAGTTGTATTATTGTAGGAGATTTACATGGTAATATTCGTGATTTATTACGTATTTTTGCAAAGAATGGTCTTCCACCTAAAACGAAATATGTATTTTTAGGTGATTATGTTGATCGTGGAGAATTCAGCATTGAAATTGTCTCACTTCTCTTTAGTTTGAAGATACTTCACCCTAACGACATTCATTTGATTAGAGGAAACCACGAATTCCTTGATATCAACACAATTTATGGATTCAAAAATCAAGTCCTTGAAGAATATAGTGAAGCATTGTATGAAGTATTCAATGATTGTTTTGGATATTTACCACTTGCCTGTATCCTTAATGATGCTTTCTTCCTTGTGCACGGAGGACTTAGTCCTAAGCTAACCTCTGTAAAACAGATCGAAGAGGTTCAACGCCCCATCCACAAAGTCAGTGATCTCAAACCTCAGCATCAATTTGTCGTTGATATGCTTTGGAGTGATCCTGATGACTCAGATATCTTGTACCTTAAGAATTTAAGAGGCTTCGGATTCATCTTCGGTGCTGCCGCTGCTTTGAATTTCTTAAGAGCAAATAATCTTCAGAAAATCATTAGATCCCATCAATGTGTAAATGCCATTCAGGAGCACTGCGGGTCCGCAGTAATTACTGTATTTTCCTCAAGTAATTACTCTTCAAAATCCAATAATACAAGTGGAGTCTTAGAAGTTAATGGATCCACTATTTATACTGGCATTTATGAGGCCCAAGATCAATATAAGAAGATTGATGCTAGCTACAGAAATGTCGAATTGGTTGAGAGAGTCCCTTATTGTTTCAACTCCAAATTTAGCTCAAGATTGAAATCAAGTCATAGTGTAAGAAGAGCAACATATGATGAAATCAAAAAATCAGAAACTAAAAAGTCAATAAAAGGAATCTCTTCATTGCCAAAGCTGGTTTGCAGCCCAATGAAGCCAATCAAAAACGAAATCAATCCAGCTATGTCTGTACCTACTTTGTCCTTGGACATGGTTTAAATTGTTTGATAAAAATGCTATTGTTTGTTGTATTTCATTCATCACATTCTCTTTTTCTATTTTTCCAAATCTGTTAATTGATCATGCAAAGTTAAAGATATATCAGATATCTTGTGAAATTAGACGAAAACAAAAGGTAACAATATTTTAAAAATTGCCGATATAGGAGATCAATCTTTGTTCAAAACAATTCTTATCAATTTCAATGAGTGATGTCAGCTTATCTGATCTCGAGACTTTATTAAAAAGCACTCAAGGGAAAGTAGAAAAACTTGAAGAACATATATCTGATCTATCCAATAAATTCCCTGTTGATATAAACTTTAGGATTTCTCGAATTAGAAAACTTATTTCCCAAGCAGAGCATAGAAAATCATTTTTAGACGATTTCGAAGAACCTCCAGCACTCCCTGAAGTTAACGATCAAGAATATATCAAGACTTCTTTGGACAAAGTTTATAACGAATTAATAACGAGTTTTCAAGATATAGATAAATACCAAACAAAATGCATAGAAAAGTTTGTTAGAGAACATCCTGGTCCATATTATATTCCGAGACCTAAAAAGTCTAATTTTCCAATAGAAAGATACAAAGAATTAAAATCACAGCTTCAAATAGAGAAAGAAGAAGTGAATAAGAGAATTAGTCAACTAAATGAAAAATTATCTCGTGTTGCGTCAAATAATGACTCGAATTTTTCCGCAACTATTAAGCAAATGAACAAGGATATAGATAATCAATCAAATGAAATGAGAGAGCTTATGGAACTCCAATCAACTCTTAAGTTATCTCTTCTTGATGCAATTTCAAAGATTGAAAGAACTAATACAAACGATAAGATTGATCCAAATGAAGATAAGCTGCGTAGAATTAATATGGAGGCACTTGCTTCATACAGAAAGCAAGATGCAAAACTTGATATGACATATTCAACCTTAAATACGGTTTCTCTAAGTATAACAAACGAAATAAATGACATTAACTCAATTATGAAATCCATTTCTATACGTGAGGAATCAATTAAATCTGTTTTAGATACATACTCCCCAATTGTTGAAAAGGCATCAATAAAATGCGGTCAGATACAAAATTCTATAGAGGAAAGTACCACCAATATAGAAAATATCAAGAAAAATATGTCTCAATCACAAACTAATGAAATGCTTGGCGAATTAACTCAAAAATGTCAAAATTGTTCTGATGAAAGCAAGGCAGCAATATCTGAGGCTAAAGATATTGTAAAGCAGACAGTTGATGAGTTTGATAAGAATAATTATCCTATTTAATTGAACTTATATCGATGAAAAAATAAAAGGTTTGTTTGTTAGCTTAAATGTATACACATATTTTTACTAACTAGACATATTTATTCATCTGATCATCAATGCTTAAATTTTGGAAACTTAATCCTCATCATTCAATATTTGCAAAATTAAAGATTCTTCCAGGGCGTCCCCTATTAAAAACATTTAAATATGGTTTATTCCAAGAAGTGTGAACACTGGGGGAATACTAATAATCGAAAGTTAGATGAAATTTTAAACGTACACTTAAAAATGGAAGATTCGTTTTCAGGACTTGATACACCAATTAAAAGTCAACAAATTGGAAAAACGCAAATACCTCCTCCTGTTAGTGGACAATTCTCTTCATTATTATCTTCTGCTTCAATAATGAACCATAACCTAGAAAATTTGGAATCAAGAGTCAATACTTGCAATTCAGTATATAAATTAGCTACAGATACAAATGAAATTCGTCAAAAAGAACAAACTCAGCATATTAACAATATACAAGAATTCTTAAATAATCTCGAGTCTAGATTAGCTCACATTGAAACATATTTAAAGGAATTGCCTGAGAGGGTTCATACAGAAGCAGCAAAACAAATCCAAGCTAAAAGTAACTTTGAAGATATGAAAATGCTTGTTGAAATGATGGATAGAGAACTGAGTGACAGATTTGATAATTTAGAAAACATAATCGAAGAAAATGATAAGATTATGACTAAAACATATAAAAAGCTCAAAAATGAGATGGATCAAATTGGAAGTATTCAGAAAAATGAGATTGAAGTTGGAGAAATCCAAAATCAATTAAATATGATCGAACAAAAGAATAAACAGATGCGTTCAATGGTTGAAACACTAAAAGATAGTGTAACTGATATTAGCAATACGAACTCAGTCAAAACTACAAACGGAAGTAAGATTTACAACTGATGTGAGAAATGTTTTTCTCATATATTAATATATATCGCATATATCTTCATGATAAATCTAATATTGTTTTTTATTCTCGTAAATTGTTATTACTATATTTTATGCATTGAAAATTATGCATATATTTTCTTATTATCCATCACAAAATTGAAAAAATTAAAAACGGTATATCAAATTTAAATGGGAATTTTAATCTTACAGTGATTCCAGACTGGATAGAACTTTCTATTATAAAAAACGCAAAGTGGAATTCGTAAGTAACTGTAAATTCAGATCTGTGAGAATGTTGCCGAATATTAATCGTAATTTTGTAATTTGAATTATAGTAGATTTGTAATATGAATGTGAGTGCATAATGGGCGTTGAGTTTTATTTTCGAGTGAAAAAAAAATAACGAATTAAAAAAATATTTCAAACAGAATTCATGAGCAAGCCATTAACAAAATTGATTGCCTTGTTAATGTTATCACCAAGAGGATTGACAGCCTTAAGACGCAAAATCGGCTTAGTCAAGTCTTTTGGTTCGCGATATTGTGGATAATCCATGGCAAATTTCCAGGCAATTTCAGTAAAGTATGCTGCCTCCCAGTGAGTTTCTGAAGCATCTGGATGAATAACGTAATCGGATGGAACTGCCTGGTTCGAAAACCTTCTTATTCTTCTAGCAAGTGCTTCTTGGAAGTCCTCTGGCTGATATTGAAGAATAATTACGGCATCTAATGAGTCGGCTACTTTCTTCGAATAAAATAAAAGATAAGAGTCGATAAAAACAATATCAGCAGTTTGTCTTTCGCAGTACTCTTCAAACTTATCCCAATGGATGCAATTGGGTGTTTCCCAATCAATTATGGTCTTACCTTTAAAGGTCATCATTGGAAAATCTTGAGTGTAATAAAAATCATCAACGCAGCAATGTGCGCCTTTGAAAACATTTGTAAGAGCTTTGGCTAATGTGCTTTTCCCGCTGGTCGTAATTCCTGCAATACCAATTCTCATTTCGGATTTGGTAAATTTGAAAAACTATCCAAAAGTGGCTAATCATTCCACAAAAAATTGAATGTCTATTATTGTTTGGGTTAAAATTTTTGTCTTTAATAACGACTGTACGTATTTAAACATAATCGAGTCCAGTGACCAAGTTACAGAAAATTGAGAGTTATCTTTATTTCTTCAGAAAAATTAAATGACTCTCAAAATATTTATCCTTCTGGAACATAGATATTTTCTCTTAAGAAGTTATTTAAGGGAATTTATTTTGTTATTTATTTCAATTCAATAAATAACCATAAGATTGAACTTAGATTTTTATAATATTGATCTATGTAAAATATCCTTTCAAAATTATTATTAAATGCCCAAAAAAAATCCAGTTGGAAATTTTTCCACAATTTGCCAACAAAATCTACTATAGATATGTTTACCATCGGATTTTCAATTTCGAATATAGTATGAATTTGATATTTGATTATACACATTCCTGTTTGTAAAAAAAATTCAATCTAAATTTATTGAAGAAATCTCAATAATATTCTAATCCACGCATTAAAGAGTCCATGTTTAGCTCTTCCCGTATGAGTGAGTCTTGTATGAATGGTCTCATACAAAGAATACATAAAATAAAAGATAAAATTCTATATTAGCAAGGAATGATATTTTAGAAAAAGGTTGTTTAATCAACCTAATCTTAACTTCTTCAAAATAAAGGAAAAAATTCTGAATTTATTTTAATTTCAATCTTATGATTCATCAATGAATGTATTTGTCATATATTTGTAGAGATATGGGCTTGTAATGTGATTTGTTTATTATCCTATTCTAAAAAGATATTGTAACATGTACATGATCCAAATTGTTACATGTACTATATTAAGTATAAAGCAATCTATACATTAATTATGTATTCCCACTTCATAAATGACAGTAATAACAGTTTTAAAGTAATATTGCTTGCTAATATAGATTTTTATATATTTGCTCAATAATATTGATAAAATAGTAATGTGTTGATCTATCATATTGAGACAAATAAAGTAAATAACTAGAATTTTAAATTAGTCAAAATATGAATTTTTTATTTTGAAATTTTAGCAAAAAAGTCATTTGATGATAGACTTCCTTCTTCGCAATTGATGTTCAAGATCTCTTTGATTTTATTAAGATTATTCTTGATGTTTGAATCAATTTCATTAAAACCTGCCTTGAGATACGCTTCAATTTGTTCCTTTGTTCCAAATGGACCTGATGCATATTGTTCATTTTCAGCCAATAAACATATTAATCTAAATTTATCAAAATCATCAGGTGAAAGAAGATTTATTGCGATATTTCGGATTAATTCGCATAATTCTTCAGCCTTTGGACGAGATTCACGCTCCTTAAGTGTGCATTTCTTAATGATTTCGATTAATTCGTCTCGAACTGTCATTTGTGAAGGGTCGTATGTTGATTCATACTTTTCCATAGAATCTACTTGCTTGAGTAAGGTTACAAGGTATGTTTCTTTAGAAGGAGCTTTCAAATGATGAACTCTTTCGAATTTTTCTTGTTTCTTCTTTAGTAGTTCATTATTTTTTGATGCATATGATTCAAATGGAATCATCTTAAATATCATATTATAAATAATGCATCCTAATGAATAAATATCAGATGCAGGATAATATGTAAGTTTTTCTGTTTCTGGAGCAGAGAAACATCTGTTTCCATGTGGTGCATGTGTTGTAGATATAAGAAAATTCTTTTTTGCACTCATTTCTCCAAAATCAATTACGTGGGCAACGAAATTACCATCAATTATGATGTTATCAGGCTTAAGATCACTGTGCTTGTGAGCACCCAATTTTCCAAGGACGTATGAGATAACGTAAGAAATAGCTAAGATTTGGTAGTCGCGAAAATCTAATTGATTTGTTATCAAATACTTGACTAAGTTGTCCAATGTGACACCTGAAATGAAATCCATTAAAACCCACGAATCTCGTTGCAAGCAGCCAGCTCTAAAATTATTTTCATCGTTGTCATAGTCAATAATATCTGGACTCAATGGGATAGAGTGATATCGGTTTCTACTTCTACCTCTATAACATGTTGTGTTTTGAGGCAATATAATGAAGTTGGATTTTCCTTCTCTGATAAAATATAGCACATGCCGTTTGCTCCTTGTCCAGCATTGCCAATTACTTGATAGAGATCTTTTATTTTGGCTGGGAGAATATCGCTACTTGACATTTATGACGTTAAAATAGTCAAAAATGAACTGAAATGAAAATAAGCAAAATCTTGACTAATATTTAAAACATGTTCTTGGTACGTTGCTTATCTGAAAAAAATTAATTCACCTGAAAATGCTGCTAATTGAAATATTCACCTCAAATACCCATAAAATCCTCAGATTAAGGATGCAGGCATAAAAACTCTGACCAAGATGGCAAATGGTCAGCAACTTATAATGCAATATTTTATATATTTTATAATTCAAATTTATCATGCGAGAAAATATAAATAGATTCAAAAGATGATCATTCATAGTTTGAGCCATTGTATTTGAAGAATGAGTAAATAAATATTTTTACTTCATTTTAGCATAAATATATACTGAGATAATAAACGAATATTTGCTAATTATAAATGTAGTCAGTAGATTTATAAATGAAAGAGAAGCCTCTTATGTAGGAACATTATATTTTTGAACAATGTGAAAGAAGAACTTCCACCATTTCATCATAATTATGTATTGTTGCAATATGAAGAGCTGTTTTTCCATCATTATTTTTTCATTGATATTTATACCATGTGAAAGAAGAAGTTCAGTTATCTCTTTATTATCATGAAATGCTGCATTATGAAGAGGAGATATTTGTACCGTGTGAAAGAAGTACTTCTACTGTTTCTTTAGAATTATGTTCTGATGCAATACGAAGAGCGGTCAATCCAAATCTACCTTTTTCATTGATATGAAAGACGAAGTTCGACTTTTTCTTTAGAATTATATTCTGATGCGTAATGTGACGCGGTTTTTTCAAACTTATCTTTTTCATTAATACTTATACCTTATGAAAGTAGAAGTCCAGCTACCTACATTCACTCAATATTTCTGGATTTCCTCCTAAAAATGAAAATTGAAGACACGATTGAGTTATGTGTGAGCTGAATTTCGTTCTTAATAACTTAAAACAATCAAATGCTCCATGATAACAACATAATTCAAGTAATGAATATCCGTAGCTAGTATATGGATACAAATCGCCAACGAGTCTATGATCTTCATCAAATCCAGTTCTTTCAGCAGTTGAGATGAATCTTTCTAAGCTGTTATACATAATTGCTTTGTAAATTGTATTTTTTGAATGAATATCTAGATTTTGTGTTTTAATTTTTTTGAAATCTTTGTATTTGTCTAATTTGATTCCATATTCTTTATAAAACAGAAAGTTTGAAATAAATTCAACATTAATGACATCTTCCACATGATATTCATCAGATATGAGCTTGGCAAGAGATAAATATGACTTTGTATAGCGATTATTATACTGAATTATATTTAAAATGTCTCGTATAATTATTTAAGGATGGAATTTCTTTGAATCAATCAATTCTGTTTTGATCATTTCTTTTGTAAATCCACTATAAATCTTTTTCATTTTCCGTTTTTAACTGATACAACGCATTATATGAATAGATGTGGTATTTACATATGCTTCGCAAATTGCTGTATTTATTTTGGTGAGTGTCTTGATCAGATATTAATAAAAATGAACTAAGTCAAAATTTTGAAAATATTCTAAAAAAATTCTTATCGTCTTTCCTCATCTCCAAGTTTTGAGAGGTTTGCATTGCAAGTTAGAGATAGTCACAAATGGGAAGCATCAAAAATTCTAACTCATCATGTAGGTGGATCTTTTATGCTTGTGCAGAACATGGTTTGCTATTGAAGATATAATTTTGGAAAATCCTTCCAAATTACGTGAATATCCTTTCTATATTTGTTGCAAAGAGAATGGCCGATTATTCAACAATTCTAAGTTTCTCATAAGATCTTCGATGTTCAAACTAAGCAAAACACTTGTCCCCTCGTTAACTTTGTAAGAAAATCAAAATACTTAAGAATAATAAAGAATAAACGTTTATTGTTGAAATTCAGCTAAATATTGACAAAATTCATTCAATAATTTCTCTTTAAATGCTTGATCATTCCCTCTTTTCTTAGCTTCATTTTCCATCTTCTGTTTGAAACTTTCGGAATTTTTGATTGGAGGGTAGATATTATCTGCTAATGACAAAAGTTCTAGTTTTTGTTTAGCTGTCATTGCATCTCTTGCAGCAGTCAATGCTGTACGTAGATTATCTTTGTTGCAATCATTTTTGATGAATTCTTCTTCAGTAAAATCTTGCACTTCTTCAATTGCTTTGTTGATTTTCTTTTCTACTCCATTTAAATCATCATCGGGTTCGCCATCAAAACTATCGAGAAGTTCTTCGAGTTTTTCTGGTATATCGATACCAAGTTTATTAAAGTATCTTGTGAGACCAGGAATAGATTCGTATTGATTCAAGAGCTCATCCTCATACTTATTGTCTTCAAATTGTTTTCTTGCATTTTTCGTGAGTTCTTTGTTCACAGTTTTACCTTTTGAAAATTTGGAGAAATCCGTTGTCTTTGAAAGCAATTCTATTGCGCCACTGATTGCCGAACATCTGGAATTGTTCAAGCAAAGCTCCTGGTAATTTGATATTGTCTCTTTGACGATCTGTTTGAAGAATGGATTCAAAGAGTTTCCACCAACAGTTGTATAATAATCAATTTTAACAGAGCCAATTAATTTCTTAATAAAACTTGTCAGTTCTTGCGCAATTTCTGAGTAATGTTGATTGTGAATGACATCATCATAAGCAATGGTATCACTCTCGAAAAATGCTTGGTTCAGGGATACTGTATCAAGCTTTGATCTGAGACCGGGAGACATTGTTTGTAAAAGTTTATTCACTGCATTGAAAAAGCATCGTTTTGAGGGATTTGGAGTTTGTTCCTTGATTTCTGCAATTACATCTTTTGTTTGATCGGTATAGTTGTCATTTTCGAACTGATCAAGAAACATTTCACATAAAATATTCGTAAAATTAATGTTTCCTATTTTGATATAACCTTTGTTGATAATTTCTGGATCTTGATCTTGTTTTGTTTTGACAATAAACGCTCCTGTTCCTGTTGAACCTGAGTTAATAACAAGGGTATGTTTTTCATCATTTATATCATGATCTTGGAGATATGAATTTAAAAAGTTACTGATCATGTCATCTGAGTAAACAATCTTGTAGTTTGTAATCTCGTTATCGGCTATGCAATCCTGCAAGGCTTCAATCTCCTTGCCAACCCAATTTGGATCAATAATGAATATGTATTGAAGTTTCTTTTTGTAATTTGCCCGAATTCTACGAATGATCATGTGTAATATAAGAGAAAAACAATCTTTAGCAGTGTAGTTAATAATTCCTTGAGATTGATCTTCTATAGGAGTTATAACCGTTTTATCCTCGCCAATATACTGGAGAAATTCATGGGCTGAGTGTTTCTCAAATGGACAAGTGGTTTGGTTGACTTCCATATCTTCTAATGGACGGAAATCTCTTGGATGAAGGCCGAAATCCATTTGATATTCAGAGAAATTAGGCAGGCTTGAATTTTCCTTGGTGCTTTCTGAAAAAACATAGTAGTAAGTAGTGCTGTTTCCTAATTGAAGTACAGCTGTCATTCAAATAAACAAATTATTCAAAAAAAAATTGACAACATTTTTTACATGAATTTTTTGACAATATAAATTTGTCATTTAAAGTTATGAATGCGGAAAAGTGTGCCATTCTGGGAGATATGCACAGGCAATGTCTCCCAGAATGACACATCGCAATCGACAAGAGTGCATATGACACTTTTGTCGGTCAAAGTTCCGCATTTAAGTTATGAATGCGGAAAAGTGTGTCATTCTGGGAGATATGCACAGGCAATATCTCCCAAAATGACACATGCAGGCCAACAAGAGTACATAATACACTCTTGTAAATCAAAGATCCGCGTTCAGGTTATTAATTTCAAATTCACATCCGAAAAAGCGTCACTTTTTATGATTGGAAATAAAATTGAAAACGAAGAATACCTCCAAACAATTAACGCTTGGTCTGATTAATATCTATAAGGTCTTATATTTCGTGAAATAAAAATTAAACAATATTACCTAGTCCCCTCGGTTTTTTATTCAAAAATATTTCAAAGCTAAAAAAAAAATTACGAATGGAGGAAACTATTGCATATCTTAACTTATCACCACTCCACGTCGATGGCCTTCACAAGCGTCTTGACAGCATACAAAAAATGGCATCTCTCATTATCGAAGCAGAGCGCACATTTGGCAAGTATGTTGAAGTTGGCAAACAATTATGTGGTATCATGCACAAGCTTTCAGTCAGCTTCACCAATTTCGGTAATATAGAAGGCGATCCTAATATTGTTTCAATAGTTGAATTACTCAATAGCTTTTCGGAAACAATGAATACACATTATGATATGATTTCAACCGCTGTAATTTCACCGCTGACTCAGTTTATAAATAACGATGTCAAAAACGCCGAACAGCTCGGAAAGCAAGCCGAAAAAATGTATGATAATTATCATTCAACATTTGAAAAGTATGTATCCCTTTCCAAAAAGAAGACATCGGATACAGAGATCGAAGAATTCGACATGAAGCTCATGCAGTCCCACGGAAGAGCCGTTTTTGCTGATTTCCAGCTTTCTCGTCAATTAGAACTTGTCGAGCGTAAGAAGAACGTCGAAGTTTTGACAGAATTCATTGCTTTCCTTAACATGCTCGGCACGACCTACGAGCAATGCGCAGATTTCTTCAAAGGAGCCAAAGACCATTTCAATACAATCCGCCAAGCCCTTCCAGTTTCTACAGCCGAGATCGACGTTTACGACAAGAACACAGCAATCATCCGTAAATCAATCGAAAGCTACTATCAGCTTTACTGGCGTAGAATTAGACTTGAATTCCCAGGTACTAACTCCCTCATCCACGAAGGTTATCTCTGGAAGAAGGGCTCCGGAATTACGAAATCCTGGCAGCGCCGTTATTTCGTTTGCCGCAATTACAAATTATACTATTTCCATAACGCGGAAGACTCCAAAGAGCAGCTCGGCCAATTGCCTCTACTCCTCACGTCAACAAAGTCAATCAACGATCCAGATCGCCGCAACTGTTTCACAATTATTTCTCGCGATAAGACTTACACCTTACAAGCTCTTACAGACTGGGATATGAAGGAATGGATGTCTGTTATCAACAACAACATCCAATACCTTCTTGACCACTCCGATGCCGTCAATACTCAACTACCTCAAGCTACATCCACAGAAAGCGACAACCAGATGGTCCAGAAGCTTATGCGTGACCAGGTTTGCGCAGACTGTGGCGCTCACAACCCATCATGGTGCTGCATCAACTGGGGAACTTGCATTTGCATCAATTGCTCCGGTTTCCATCGCGCTCTTACATCCGATATCTCCAAGGTCAGATCCCTCACTCTCGACCACCTTGACGACACAACTCTCAAGGTTTTGATTGTTATCGGAAACGCAAATGCCAACAAAATCCTCCAGCCAAATGTCGGACCAAGGCAAATCACCGACCAAGCGACCAAAGATGAACGTGAGCGTTTCATCAAAGACAAGTATGTCAACAAGTCATTCCTTGCTCCACCACGTAAGATCGACTACAAAGAAGCGATCAGAATGAACGACATCAACACCGTTTTCGAGGCAATTTGCTATGGATTACTTCGCAACGAAAAGACAGGTTATGGTGCAATGCATATTGCAGGATCTTGTGCTTCCGCCGAAGTATCACAGCTCGTTGTCTTGAACACTCCTAACATCGATGTCTTGGACCAGGGTGGATGGTCAGGACTCTCCTACGCAGCGTATTATGATAACGCAGAAGCAGCGGAAGTATTCCTTGCAGCTGGTTGCAATCCAAATGTAAACGAGGACACACATCCTTACAAGATCGCAATTCTAAGCGGAAAGAGAACAATTGCGGCACTTTTCTTGCCTTACTGGAATCACGGCGAAATAGAAGACAACGGAGCTCATGACATCAAACCGCCTGTCGAACTCAATATGTCTGGTGTGGCTAAGACTCATATTAAGATGCCAAGAAGAACAACAACAATTTCTTTGCTCAGCGCAATGAAGTAATTTTTCGGAATATTTTTGTTTTTGTTTTTTTGTTTTTGTGTTATGATATATATTTATTTTGTTATATTTTTTCGCTGCCGTTATTATTCTTCACTTATTTCGTATATTTTAAATAAATAAAAGGATTTTATTTTAATTTATTCGGATTTCAAATTTAAAAGAAGTAATTCCACTCCAAATATGAGTAGCTTAGCTTACATGTTCATTATGGCATAATACTTGGGCCCTTTTATAAGTTTCTCAATTAAATATTGTTCTCAAATATCTAAATTTTTAAAATTTTTTATAAATATTCATCTGATATAATGCAAACTTTATAATTGTTGCATGCTAAGTAGTGTCAACGATAGAAATTGAGAGCCGATTAATCGTCGAGGAAGTACGATTATTTTTTGGGCGAAAAAGTATCTTAAAATATGATTATTAATATGTTTTTAAAATAAAAAATTTGAAAGTTAATTTGAGATTCTCATATAATTTTTTGAATGAAAAAAATAAATATAGTCTATATGAGTTTTTGAATAATCACACTTGAGATATATCTAAAAAATAATTAAAAATAGAGTTTGAGAAGACTTTTCAAGGTGTAATGAAAAGTGTGATATAGAAAATAATTATAGATATTTTAATTTTATATATTGTGCTAAGCATTATATTAAATTTTTAGGAAAAACACTTTTCATAAGTATTCAATATTTGAAAATACGCTCCAAAAAAGAATAGATTCTTTTATATTCGCTTATATAAAATGAGACTCTCTATCAGATGCGAATGCCTGAATTCAGCACCTCTGATAGAGAGTTTCCTCTTATATAAGCGGATCTTTTTCATTCGTTTTTGTTAATATAAAAACATCAAAATCTACCAATATGAGAAATTAAACCCTGCGAGGCACCAGTCTAGAACTGACACTTCGCAGGGTTGAATTTCTCTTGACAAAATACAATAATCAAATGCTCCAAAGTTTTCAAATTTTTATTAGGAATAGGAGCCTACAAAGCACTGATTATATATCAGTGCCTGGTTGGCTCCTATTCCTTCTCTAAATGGGAGAAACTTTGTTTGAATAAGATAACATGCGAACAAAGTTTCTCCCATTTAGAGTGGGATTTGGAGGGTGGGAGGTACATAGATAGACTATGTATCTCTCACCCTCCAATTCCCTCGGGAAAGTTCGAAAACTTTGGTGCAATCAGCAACGATTGCACCAAAGTTTTTGCGTTTAATTGAAGGAATTGCTCTTTATGATATATACAGTTACAATGCATATATCATAAGGAGCAATTCCTTCCAGATATCTGGCAAACTTGTTCGCAATGGTTCACAATTGCGAACAAGTTTTGTCATTTGTCAAGAGAAATTAAACCCTGCGAAGTGTCAGTTCTAGACTGGTGCCTCGCAGGGTTTAATTTCTCATATTGGTAGATTTTGATGTTTTTATATTAACAAAAACGAATGAAAAAGATCCGCTTATATAAGAGGAAACTCTCTATCAGAGGTGCTGAATTCAGGCATTCGCATCTGATAGAGAGTCTCATTTTATATAAGCGAATATAAAAGAATCTATTCTTTTTTGGAGCGTATTTTCAAATATTGAATACTTATGAAAAGTGTTTTTTTCTAAAAATCTCAGAATATATTTACAATAGTAAAATAAATAAGATATTTAAATTTATTTTTAAATGCTTTTTTTTATATGAGATTCTCAAAAGTTATATCAAAAGTCTGTTTTTTCTAAAATCTAATATCATAATCTATTTCTCATTTTAAGTACATCTTAATTCATTTTATTTTCTATATTTTTCAATATTTTTGAGGGAATTGTGTTGCTTCCCCGACGATAAAATTGAGAGGTTTACACATTGACACTACTTAGCATGCAACATAATTACTATTAAGATGTGAATATCATAGAAATTAAATTGAGAAATCCATGGATATGTATACAACCTTTACATCATCATTACATTAATTTTTGATTGAAAAAATATGTTGAAATAATGAATTGATGTTCAAAAAAGCATATGCAATCCTATCGAAAATGCTTAGATAAAAATTGAATAAAAAGTGACATTTTTGATGATGAATTTATGTCAAAAAGAATAAAGATAATCTCCACACTTATGGAGAACAATGGAATTCAAAATGGAGAAATTTTATGTACTAGTACTCCGGTAAATAAAGGGTATTTTTGTTCCAACGCCCTTTATTGGAATACAACATCTGCTTTTGCAGCTGATTTAACACTAAATGGAGTTTTTACACTCTCATTTCCCAAAGTTTATGTAAAAGTTAGTAGAATTAAAATATTATCAGGATCCGGCTTGAGATATCTCAGCTCCAGTATTATAGATTCATCACTGGATGGAGTAAATTATAAAAACATTATGAACACTGATATTCCATTTTGTTCTCAGAAAAGTACCGTGAATTGTAATTGTGGAATTGAAACAATTAGAGAATATACTTTTCCTGAAGAGAGAGTACTGAAATATTTAAGGATTTCTGGATCTGGTAAAGATTCTTGTGGAACAACTGAATTATCTTTCTTTGGGATTGAATTATTCGGACATTTTACGTCCTTTTGTTTTTCTGTGAATTATTTAATTAACTACTCATTCCCATTCTATATACTGACCCATTTTTTCATTATCTTTGAATAAATGTATATTATATTTGAATAAATTATCTGCAATATCATGAATTTTGAAACAATGTTATTGCAGATAATCATTAGAGCTCATAAAATGGAAGAAGATGAAATTAAATATTCTGAGAGGAGCCAAAGAAAAGTATGCCCAAAACAGATTGCATAGGTAAATGTAGTGCAGTTGTTATTGGAAAGGCATGGAAAAATGAGAATCCTTTGGGTTTGGAATGTTTTCCAATGAGGTATTATCTTGATCAAAGCAATATTATGATATATAATTTTAGTTGTATTTGTTATTTATTAGCTCAAACTCAAAGAAAGTCAATGATTTACATAAATGTTAATAAGGAAAAATATTGATCAATAAAAATAACCTATTGCCATGATTGATCAGTCAGGGTGTGGTTGTATAGTCTTGTATCCAAGTGTGATTCTTCGAATATTTTACTGAAAAACAAATTTCCAAAAAATCATTTACAAATAACAGATATCTTTAAGTCAAATCGCCATATATAAGTGTTTCCTTCATGTATCAATAGACTTTCATAATCTTAATTTCACTTGATTACAATTTTGTCAGAAAATTTCTGAACGTTTTCAATTTTTTATCCAATTCTTTTGAAATGCCTTTATTAACTACAATGATGTTAAATACCAAAAATTTATAGATGATCGTTTTGATGGGCAGAATTTCTATACTATTCAATTGCAATTCAATAAATATTTCATCGGTTCATTGAAAAAATAAAAATCTTTTTACTTGATGTCGCAAGGCTTTAACTGGGACCCTCTTGGTAAAGGTGTTTTCGATGAAGAAGGACGCATTCAGCCACTCAATTGCAAGAAAGGAGAAGTTGCAAACAGAATTATCTCTGTTGGTGATCCAAACAGAGCCAAGTTAATGGCTGAATCACTTGATAAGGATACTCCAGTCATCATTCGTCAATCAAATATGATCTTTTGCACATATACTGGCAAGTACAAAGGTGTTCCTGTTTCAATCATTGCAACAGGAATGGGTTTTGCCATGGCAGAGCTTATGGTAGTTCAAGCTCGTGCAGTTGTTGATGGCCCATTAACAATTGTCCGCTTCGGAACATGTGGTTCACTTCATGCAGATGTTCCAATTGGATGCTTCGCAATTGCCGATCGTGCATACTTTGTTCGCCAAGATTTTGAGCGTGAAGGCTTCCCATTCGAATTCGCAAAAGAATCTATTCCTTATGATCGTGAACTTCATGCCAAAGTTCTTGAAGAATTTAAGAAATTAACAGAGTACCGCACAGTTGTTGGTCCAGATACATCAGCTGATACATTTTATCCATCTCAAGGTCGTCTTGATGATAATTTTGTTATGGAGAACCAAAAAGTTATTCCAACACTTCTTGCTCAAGATAAGGATGCTCTCTCATTTGAAATGGAATCCTATCTTCTTGCATTTCTTGCTTACAGATTCCCACAAGCTCAAATGAAGACAGCTGCTGTCTGCCTCACTCTTGCACAGAGAACATCAGGAGATTTCCTTGATAATGCTCGTAAGATGGCTATGGAAAAGGCAGCATGCCATGCACTTCTTGAAATCTTATCAAAATGCTAAAAAAAAAGAAATGAATTTGGATCATTAGCAAGCAAAATTCAATACAATAAACGCATTTAAGTGAAAATTTATACCCTTTTTTTTCCAGCCAGATTCTACAAAAGTGACATTTTTTTAAAGGATGAGTGCTTGAAAGAATAAAACTAATCTCAACTCTTATGGAGAACGATGGATTTGTTTACAAGGATATTTATTGCACAAGCACTCCGTTCAAAATTTCTGGAGGGAACCCATATAATTGTTCAAATGCTTTTGATTGGAATTCAACTGATAGATTTGCATCCCCAGGAACAGATTCGCGTACTTTTACTTTATATTTTCCAAAAACATATGTGAGTGTCTCCACGATTCAGATTAAATCTGGACCAAATTTAAGATATCTCAATGCCAGCATAATTGATTCATCATTGGATGGAGTTAATTATAAGCATGTTATGAACACTAATGTTTCTTTTTGTGATAATCATGAAATTGATACATGTAATTGTGAGAACTATACAGTTCGGGAATACTCTTTTCCAGAAGAGAGAATACTGAAGTATTTGAGAATTTCCGGCATTGGTAAAGATTCTTGTGGAACATCTGAATTATCTTTTTATGGGATTGAATTATTTGGATATTTCACATCATTTTGCTTCTCTTTGAACAACTTTATTCATTTTTCATTCCCTTTGCTTGCATATACGCATGTTTTTATTCTACTTTGATATAAAATATTTAATCAATTTCTGATAAAGTTTTTAATTCCGATATGAAAAGTGACATTTTGCTGATGAGATTTTTTGAAAGGCATTAAGCTTGTTTCCATGCTTTCGAATTACAATGGATTTGAAAATGGTGATATTTTATGCAATTCTACGAGCGTCACTGTTATTGACGGAAAACCCTTTTTGTGTTCGAATACTTTTAATTGGGATTCAACAGCTAAATTTGCATCGCCAGGAACTGTACCACAAACATTCACATTATATTTTCCTAAAACGTATGTGAGTGTTAATGAGATTTGGATAAAAGATGGTTATGATTTGAGATATCTTAGTTCGATTTTAATTGATTCCTCATTGGATGGAGTAAACTATAAACGCATTATGAAAACTAATGTTCCATTTTGTAATCAAAAAAGTTCTGAATGTGTTTGCCAAACAGAAACAGTCAGAAAATATGTTTTTCCAAAAGAGACTGTTCTTAAATATTTGCGAATCACAGGATCTGGTCAAGATTCATGTGGAACTATGGAATTATCATTTGTTTCTATTGAATTACTTGGTTATTTCACATCATTTTGTATTTCTATTAACAAAAATGTTTATTATTCATTCCCTTTCTTTGTGTTCCAACAAATTTTTGTTATCTTCGAATAAATGTTAAATTTCTATTGTAAGGATTGAATAGTTTTTTTATAACTATTCGTGTGATGTGTAGTTCTATCACCAACTTCTTTAAAAGTGCTTATTTATGTAATGCTTTTGAATTCTATGGATATTTCACGTCATTTTGTTTATATGCGAACAACTTTATTCAATTTTCCTTAATCTATCGGCGCGATGTGCCGATAGATGATACATATAAACCTTCATAAATTGAAAAATGGCAAGCGTAGCCACCTGAGACCGTAAGTGATATTATGTCAAATTTGTTTTTTGGCCTAAGGAATTATTGTAAGTTTATATATTCACACTATAGATTCGGACAAAAAGAAATATGATATACTTGATGTTATATCTTGATATTTTGTCATTCTTACATTCATTTATAGTATACTTAATTTCATCACATCTCTTTTATAACTAAAAATTTACAAATGTGTTTTATCAAAAATTGAATAGAATTTGAGAAGGTGGCTTATCATTAAATTTTTCTATATGATAGAAGAGTCCAGCTTTAGTACTCTTGAGATTGACTTTGGTGCTATTGCCCAGGATATTGATAGATATATTGACAATGAAAATTTTATAAAATGCCGTACAATAGAAGAATTGGTTAAAATTCTAAAATTATGTCATCTAAATACAGATCAGATTATTAGACTTCTTGAAAATTTAGGTCAAGAACATAACCCACATTCAATGCTTGATATCATTAGGAGCACAAAAATTAATTTGGATATTGAAGACAATGAATTTGATCAATTAATCAATGCATTTACACATGTTTTGGATTTACCGATTCTTACAAGTATTGCAAATCATCGTGTCTTACCTCCTGACAGTATCGACAATCAAATTAAAGAACTTAAAAAATTGACTGAAATCTATAGAAAATCGTCAGATAAGTTGATTGGACAGAAGATTACATACAAAAATTCCACGAAAAAACCATTAAAAGCTCAAATTCAAAACAAAATAGATGAATTGAAAAAAATCCCTGATCACACATATAATGACGGCTGGATGCTATTTAGTTCAAAGAAAACTCTTTCAATGAATTATGAAATGACTGAGCTCGAAAATCTATTAAATGAATGGAGCAATGAAATGAATCAAAATACTGATCAAGAAAGAATCCTCAATCTAGAAAAGGAGAATAAATTATTAAAAAAAGCGGTCGATGTTAAAGGTATATTATCTAGCAAAATGAAACCAGATAACGATGAACTAAACGATAAAGAAAGTTTTATCGTAACTCTACAAATGCAAATCGAAGAATTTCAAAATACAATAAATGAGGAAAGAGAAAATTCTCGAAAACTTTATGAACAAAATAAAACTTTACGAGCTGAACTTGGAAGATTACAAATGAGGCCACAAAATGTCAATCCATTTGTTCGCGTGCTTGATAATGGTTGGGAATATGAGAGAAGGGATAATCAATTAGAAGAATATAGAAATAGGATCAGACAACTTGAAAATGAAGCAAGAAATAGAGATAATACAATTAATTCTCTACATAATCAATTAGCTACATTTACAAATAGGATCAGACAACTCGAAAACGAAGCAAGAAATAGAGATGTTTCAGAATTACGTAACATCCAAACATTATTACAAGGAATGAGGCCTAAAGTAATTCAAGTCCCTATAATCACAAATAAAGATAAGAAAATATTTTATAAGTTTAAAGGTATAATTGAAAATCAAGCAAATAATCCAAATAACTATGGTGTCAAAGAAGGACTTTTGAGAGAAATGGCAGCCACAATTAATAGTCTGGTAACAAAGAAAGCACCAGATGCAAACGAAGTAAATCATTTCATACAAAGAATGACCGATGTCTTAAATAAATTGGAAAGAAAAATTAATTCCAATCAAAATAATGTATCCAGACCTGTATTCAGACCTGATTTTAGTTCATCCGACGATGATAATAATCAATTCAGACTTAATCCCAATCAAAATTATGTACCTAATGTTATATATGTTGGTAATGATTTTTTAGATTCGTTCTGACTTCATTATGGATCATCCGACGATGATTATAATTATTTTTAAGTATGTAACTTTGGAAATGTGTTATTTCGATTTGATAAAAATTCATAGAATTTGTTATTTTTCTTTTTTCTGATGTCCATGTAAAGTTTTTAATTTCCGATATGAAAAGTGATATTTTTGCTGATGAGATTTTTTGAAAGGCATTAAACTTGTTTCCATGCTTTCGAACTATAATGGATTTGAAAATGGTGATATTTTATGTAACTCTTCGGATGTCGCTGTTATTTATGGAAGCCCCTTTTTGTGTTCGAATACTTTTAATTGGAATTCAACAGATAGATTTGCATCACCAGGAACTGTACCACAAACATTCACATTATATTTTCCTAAAACGTATGTGAGTGTTAATGAGATTTGGATAAAAGATGGTTATGATTTGAGATATCTTAGTTCGATTTTAATTGATTCCTCATTGGATGGAGTAAACTATAAACGCATTATGAAAACTAATGTTCCATTTTGTAATCAAAAAAGTTCTGAATGTGTTTGCCAAACAGAAACAGTCAGAAAATATGTTTTTCCAAAAGAGACTGTTCTTAAATATTTACGAATCACAGGATCTGGTCAAGATTCATGTGGAACTATGGAATTATCATTTGTTTCTATTGAATTACTTGGTTATTTCACATCATTTTGTATTTCTATTAACAAAAATGTTTATTATTCATTCCCTTTCTTTATATTCCAACAAATTTTTGTTATCTTCGAATAAAAATATTTCTTTATACTTCGCTGCACGCCGATAAAATTGATAAAGTGGCAAATGCCTAATATTATTCTTTTATTCCTAAAGTTAAAGAATTAATTAAACTTGTCTCTACACTTATTGAGAATAATGGATTAGAAAAAGGTGATATAGCATGCAGTAGCACTGATGTATCAACTTATGGGGAACCTTATAAATGTGAGAATGCTTTATATTGGAATACAACTAAAATGTTTGCATCACCAGGGTCGGATACTCGAACCTTCACATTATATTTTCCGAAATTATATGCAAGTGTTTCAAAAATTCAGATCAAAGATGGTCCTGGACTGCGTTATCTCAGTGCTACCACAATTCATTCATCATTAGACGGATCTTCATATGAAAAGGTCATGGATACTAACGAACCATTTTGCGATGAAAATAGGCCTGGTAGCTGTGCTTGTGCTGTCTATACGGTTAAAGAATATATCTTTCCAGAAAAGAGAATATTAAAATATCTGAGAATATCAGGAAAAGGTAAAGATTCTTGTGACACTTCTGAATTATCTTTTGTTGGGATTGAGTTATTTGGATATTTCACGAAATATAGTATTTATACAAATGATTTTGTATATTCCGCAATTCCTTTATTCTCATTTACTCAGCTTCTTCGATCGGAATAAAAATTTATCTTAGAATGTGAATTTTTGAAAAGTTAATTCAGTACATATGGCACCTTATGCATTTAACTATATATTTCAATACATGTTTATTGTTCACATATATTACATTGCTTCAAATTTTGTGAAATGTGACACAATTGATATTTTATGCTGTGATTTTGTGCCTTATGAGTAGTCTTTAGGAAAATAAATTATTTATATATATTAAATGTAAAATTTTGACATTTTTAATTTAGTAAATATGGAAAGTTAAAAATAAATCACCAATTTTCTTTATTGAGACCAGAGATGGATGTTCTCGTTAAGAAGTTCAAGTGTATGAGTAGCTTCTTCCTTTGATTCCTGAGATAACTGATTGATTCCGCTTCCGGCTTCCTGATAGGCGCGTGAAGCAAGTTCATGAGCTTCTGCTGTCTCGCCGAGAATTTCGTAAATAAAAACAGCAAAGTTGAGGGCAAGACCTAATCTAAGTGGATGGTAAGTTGGTAATGATGTATCAGCAAGAGCGGCAGCTTCCTGGTATGATGCCTTGCATTTAGCTGCAACGTCTGGTCTACCAGAGTTTGGAGTTGCCTCCCATTTGTAACGATAATAATCTGCTGTCAATTTAATATAAAATACGCGAACTTCTGGTTCTGTAACAGATGGAAGGAGTGTATTTTGAATAAGTGAGATTACTTCATCGCACTTTTGAGAAAGTGCTTCTGAACATTCGAGAATTGATAAATCTACGTCAAATCCGTGTGCATCATCTTGTAAGAGACGAATTGAATCACGAAGAGGACTGACAATTCCTTTGTATGCTGAGCTCAATAAGTTTCTTTCATTGAATGAAAGTGGACGGCCTTGATTAATAACATCTCTCATATATCTGATGCAGTCTTCATACTTACCGCATTCCTGGGCGACTTTTGCCATGAAGACGTTGACTTCTCTGACTCCGTCCATTCCTAGTATTTAAAAAACGGTTTTATAAAATTCACCTGAGCAAGTGAAACGAATAAAACCCGTATATTAGATCATAATTGGAACTTGATACTGAAGGTTAGATTGTTTCAATTACATTCGTCATCAAATATTAGCAAAAACCGAATGAATTCCAACCAATTCATTTGAAAAAGTATGATTTTGCGATTTTTGTAGTTCTTTTGGAGAGAAAATACGAAATCTATTATCATAATTTTCCAAAAAAAATTGAAAATCAATTTTATCAAGAATTTTTCTTTTGAAAAATTTATCATTTTTTCAAAATTGAAATAATTTTGGAAATTTTGGATTGAGTTTTATAAAAAATAAATCGATAGAACATTTTAAATTTAATTTGTAATTTAATAATTAAAACAATTTTGCAAAATTTTCTCTTTTGTTCAATAATTTTTATATTAATTCTGAAATATTTAACTAAACTGTAAATAAAATTATATTATTACAGATTCTATTTAGATAAATGTGTTTCTGGGGTTTAATTTCTTGCTTGATATCTTATCTTATTCATATCTTAATATCCTTCGCATTTATAACCGAAATTTCACTATATATCAATTACATATACTATGATAATTCTTTATTTATTCCCATACTGCTAAGAATAGCATATTTAATGAAATTCTTAATGCTCCGTAATTGAAACTTCATTATTACATAGACTAATTTCACTTCTCAATATATTTGTTTAGATGTGTTTAATGGTCTTTATTTTCCTTATCTCACCATGTTTTACACATAGTGGGTCAGATTTTGACGTAAACTACACAATTTTGATTTCTCACAAATCATTTCACTGATGACGAATCCATACGAATGGTTTGACAAAAGGGCTAAGGACTGGAATCAGACCCCAGGTAAGATCGAACTTTGCACAAGGTTTGTTGCTGAAGTTAGAAAGCAGGCCAATATTACACCTGAATCAAGAATACTTGATTTTGGCTGTGGAACAGGCTTAAATGGAATTTACTTAATCAACGATGCTAAGACGATCGGATTCCTTGATCCTTCTTCTGGAATGATCGAGCAAGTTAAGAAAGAACTCGCTGAAATTAACAAAACCAATGTCGAAATCTACAATCAAGAAATTTCACAAACAACAATGGAACCATTTGACTTTGTTGTTTCATCAATGGCATTCCACCACGCTGAAGATTTAAAGGGAACAATTTCTGCCATCGCTGAAAAGATGAAAGTGGGCGGAAAATGCTTCATATGCGACCTTCATAAAGAAGATGGAAGCTTCCATGCCGGATTTTGCACAGTTCCTCATAATGGCTTTGACATCGAAGAACTCAAGCAAACATTCTTACAGAATGGTTTCTCCAAAGCTGAACATATCGATTTTGGAACTTACTTACAGAAGGAAAGAGAATATCCTTTATTTGTCTTAACAGCTACAAAATAATTTATTTATTCTGCAAAAATAAAAGATTTAGTATTTTACACGCTTTTTAGATACACTTTATATTACATGCAATGCCCTTATTTTCATATTAATTGTAAATATTTTTAGAAAATGCTAAAATGTTTCACAAATCATTTAGAAAGATATATATCTTTAGTTTTGAATATCCAATGTGATGCAATAAGTATCGGAAAAATAATAATGAGGTATTTTGTTGATATAACGTTTAAGTTGTGACATGATTGAACATTATATGAACTGTATTAATGTAGTAGATAACTTATGTATTAATGCCTTGTCTATCCAATGATAGAAGTGACTCTATAATAAAATGAAATAAAATCGTTTCTCTAATTTATATTGTCACTTTTTCGAATGTAAAAAAATATAAAAAATGGAAACTCCTGAAATAATCAATGATCTAAGCAACCAAAGAGTGAAAGCAAGTGAACAAAATGAAAAGAAACGTCTCGAGGCTGCGGTCCAGGAGTTGGAACTGCTAAAAAGACAGCAGAGCGTTTTAGAATCCACATTAAATGATTTACAGTTTTCGATTGATGAGTTAAAATGCGAAAGAGCCGAAAAAGAAAAAATGCTCGAAGAAAATGAACCAGAAGTCGAACATGGCGCTTTCTTCAAAATTCTGACACAGCTCGAAAATAGAGAAGTCGAATTACAAGAAAAAATCAAAGAACAGAAGAAGATTTATGCAGATTTAATGCATGAACAATCAATTGTTCAGCAGAAAAACAAGAAACTTCAAAAAGAATTTGAAACTCAAAAGGTTCATTTACATAATGACGAAATGAATTCCCGTACAGCCAGAGATAAACTCGATGTTTTGACAACAGAAATTATCGAAAAAGAAAATGAATACCATGACTTATGCGAGCTTGCAGAGCAACTAGAACAAGAATTAGTACAAAAATCAGAGGAAAACAAGAATGCCAACGAAAACCTCAACGAAAATCTTAAGAAGCAGAGAGATAAGCTCATCGTAGACCTCATTAGACGTCAAGCTGAAGAAAATGATATGAAAAATAAAATTATACAAACAGAACGTGAGTGCGCAGCTCGAAAGAAACAACAAGAACGAGAAATTAAGAAGGCTGAATCAATTAATGAATGGAAAATCGTTAGGCAAAAGTTAAATACAATAATTATTAAATCTAAAAAGAAATTAAACGATACACTCAAATCTCTTGAATCTACACGTAATAAAGAAACTGCTCTTCGTGCGAAATTCAAAGAATTACTTGGAGAAGATGATCCAGGAGATGGAACTGGACAAATGGCAAGGAGGATGCTTCAAGCCGAAATACAAAGACTTTCTAATCTTCCAGATGATGAATATGAACAAGATCTTGCAGTCGAAAGAGAATATTACGATTCCCTCAAGAGACAGATCGAAATATTAGAAAATAGTATAAAGAAATTTGAAGGGTATAGAACAGACATACTTAGCTCTCTTGACGAAGAACTTATTCAAGCATCAAACGACGGATACGTTCGCCTCTTAAAGCAAGACTTGCAGGAGTCTATCCAAATGAAAAATGGCAACTATTGAATCATATTCCTATGTAATTTTTCATTATTTTTCTTGATTTTTTATATTTCATCCTATTAGAACTCAGAAAGTCGAAGTTCTAATAGGAAATATAGCAATATATACAGACTTTGGAATTTCCTTATCTAATTCGGATCAAATCTTTATTTAATAAAATTATTTTATGTTTGTATGTAAGACTTATGTTTTTTTTATCACAAACACTGCTATATACATACATATATATACTAACAATTTACCAACCGATATACGCTCTCAATACAATTAAACTGCATAAAAATTAGATTACCAAATGTTTTGCAAACGCTTGATGTCATTAGCTTCATCATTATGAACCAGACTACCCCATGCACTGTTGATATTAATAGAGAAAAAGATCTTTTTGTGCTTATCTTGAATCAATGATTGATAATTTTGGGTCTTTATATCAAATAAAAAGGGTCTTTCTAAATTCAAATCATAATGCCTTCCCATTTTCAGTCACGAGCCGGCCTTATGATATGGATCATAGCACCTCTATTTATTGTTTTCTCATTTTTAGCTACAATGAGAGAAAAAGATCCACAAAAAGTATTCGAAAAAAGGCATATTTACAGAAATAAGCAATATAATTGGAAATTAGGTACAAATCCACCACCACCAAAGCTATCTACTAATGGACAGTCTGATAAACTATATGTAATGATTCTAGATAGTGAATTCGAATCGCGACCACACCAATGCATAATGAAACGCCAGTGGATGGATCCATTTCTTGAACATGTTGAAGTAGATGGTATAGAAGTTTACTCTGCTAATGCCTGGACAAATAAAGAATGTAATTTATCTTCAATTACTATTCCAGAATTACCAGAACAAAAGATCAATCCTGGGGCATTTCTTCTTTACGAGTCTCTAAAACTGTTCCTTGAAAGATCAGATGCTGGTTGGCTTTATATAATTGGAGATGCTGCTTACATTAAGGTTGACCGATTTTTCGCATGGCTTGGAAACATAATGAAGTCACATAGTGCATTAACAGAGAATTTTATCATAGGAAGCTGCGTTGAAGAACGATATTTCTTCCAAATGTTGTTAACAAGCTCAGGAGTGTTACTTTCTCGCGCATATGTAAAGAGACTAGTTGCAACTAGAGATGACGACCTCTGGGATGTTTCAATGGCTGTTGGAATTACGGCAGACGAAATTTTAGCAAAAATTTCGGACAAAATTGGTGTTTACATACCAGGAAAGCAAACATCAGACTTGGTTGGAAGAGGATTTACAGATGCAAGCCATTATAAGATTCTTATGGACAAAGATTTCGATAATTTACCAAAATGCAATATTCCTCAAGAATATTTGCGACCATTTGCTGGTGAACTTGGTCTATGTACAGCACAAATCATGAAATTCAATGATATAAGGGTCTGGAGCGCTACAAGACATTTAGGCAAACAGAAGTTCTTGGAAGACGCTGAAGAGATGCTTAACAATAATCCTGATTCCTTGGGATACTATTGGGATCGATTATATCTAACATTATGTAAATTATATTAATTTTGTTTGTATTTTTATAGTAAAGCTAATTAAAATTTAATAGGAAAAGTTTTTAAGTAGTAAACAATGTTAAATTTGTTCATATTTTATACAGAAAAAATTTGATTCATTTCTCTTTAGTGTTTGATCAAATATTGAATGGAATATAAAGAAGATTCTTCAAACGAAGTTACAATAGACTCAAATGGTATAGATCCGCATAAAATTCTTTCAGATCAAAATCAAATTGAAAAAGATATTGAACAAAATAACAAAAAACAGATATCATTCTTCGATGTTACAGTTTCAGAAAACAATTCATGCTCAGATGAATATCTGAAAGCAATTTTCAAAGCAATAACAGAAATTTACCAAAGATCTTTCATGCCAATACAGGACTCTGAAGAAAAACTTTATGATTTTATCTTCGAACTAAGTGATTCTAACCACAAAAACGTGCTCAAAGAACTAATTTCAGATTTCGATATTCCTGCTTATATTTTCGGTAAAATACATAATGATAATCACAGAAATTTGCTACCAAAACGAATTCTTGCGCTAACTACGTGCCTAGAGTTAAATTTTCAATTATTTAATGAAGATTACTTCGATTTTATTCTAAATACCTTATTTTTAGAACAAAACATTGAAAATACAGACGAATTCACTGCTGTTCTTGCATTTTTAGCAAATTTCACAGATGAAAACAATATTCAATTATTTCCAGTAGAATTCTTTCCGATTCTATCAGAATTAATGTCTTTGCATGTCTTTAACATCATATATAGACATACAATTCTACTTATATTAAAAATAATTCAAGTTTTATCTCCAAATGATGAAATTAATGATTTCATTTCTAATTGTTTTGTTTTCATTAATGAATTCATCGAACAAGCTCCATCTTATGCCAATAATGCTATATTGCAATTAATTTCAGCCATTTCTGATTTCAATACAAGTTATCTAAATTATCTTATTCCATCTTTAGATCATATTTCAGCATTTGGTCAGATTTCATATCAAACAATATTTTCAGTGATCAGATCTTCACTATCTTTTGATTTTCTAACAGATCAAGTTTTTTCTGCAATTTTTGATACATTGACATTATCAACTATTGATGATTTATTAATAATTGAATTATACTCAATGTTAAATATGCTAATTTCCAAAGATTCAGAAAAATTTTATGAGATATTTTTAAATGATCATAGCAATGTCGAAATCATGATGAATTCAATTCAAACTCTATTCTCAAGCACATCATTTAATATAGTTGCAGTAGTTGGGCGATTTTATTCGGTATTATTTTATTATTTTCCTAGTTTAATTGAAAATAAGAAATATTTCGATATCGAGAACTTTAAAAGGATCTGTGAGGTCCAAACAGAACTTGTAATAATTGTTCTCAACGCATTTGATTCAACTTTATCTTTCATTATGAGAACAAACGAAAATGAGGCTCGAGAATTCATAGAAATGATCCAAAACTCCGAAATACTTGATGATATCTGTGATTACGTCGATGATTTAGATAATGATGAAATTCAAACTGAATGCGATCAAATTATTAACAAATTTATACCCGATGAATAAAAATATCCAATTTACATCCTTCTTTTTTATTTGTTATTTTAATATTAAATTTATTTCTTATTTCTGATTTATTACTTTCATATATTTGAACATTGCTTTATATTCAGCTTATTTAGCTTTCTCTTTCAGAAATTTATCATGAGTAGACTTAGATAACGAATCTTCTTTAAATAAAGATCTTTACATGTTTTTCTTTCTTAAAAGTGAGATGATTATCATATAGACAAAGGTTAAACACACTATATCCTGAAAAACATTGAAATTAAAAGAAAATTAAATAATTTTTTTTATTAAGTATGAAATCAACATGTACTCTATAAATACAAAATAATAAATATAAATATACAAATGCCTCAGCATTAAATTAACAATATAAAATTTCATAATTTTTTTTTTCAGAGTTTAAGCTCTTCAACCTTTTCTCTGAACCATTTAGCAACGGAATTGACCAATGTAGCGTAGTACTGCATGCTTGGAGTTATCGGAATTAGTCCCATTTCGTCACAAAGTATTGTATGTTCAAGATAAGCGGCCATTGACGATGTCTTCGATGGATTGACAAGTATGAACAAGAAGATTGATGCTGGAACTAAGACATCTGCTCCAATTTCTTTGAATCCGTAAAATGAAAGCAAAAACTGCAAAGAATTCAAAGCTTTATCAATCCATACCATTATAGATACAGATGTTGTTTCTTCTGAAGCTCTTCTTAAGCAATCTTGTGCCAATCCAAGTAATGTTGGATCATTTTGGAATCTTTCGAGCCATTTCTGGGAATTCATGCTTATTAGTTCATCTTTGTGGTTTGTGATCATATCCGATATCTTCTTATCCATTTCTACGTAGTTTGGATGAAATTCATTAAATGTTTGCAGGGAAATACACTTTGTTAGGCGTGTATATAACAAAGGTAAAAATCTCTCTTGAGTTATAACTATCTTGTTCTTATCAACGAAAGTTTTGAACGAATTAATTAAAAATTCGAAACTTTCTAAGAATGCAGCTGGTTTTTGATTGAGTTCTGGTATGTTAAGCTGATCAAACAAGTGTTCCGTCTTATCCCACTCCAATAAAATCAAATTATCTTTCTTTTGGTTGAGATATTCGATACATTGCTGGGATTGAGTGAACAATATCTTGAACGAGTCCGTATTTATCTTTCCTGACAAAGTCTGCTGTCTGTGAGCCATTCTTTGGTCGTATTTCTCCTTTAATAAATTAATATAATAATTTACGTCGTTGCTTGCTTTATTCATCTCCATCATCTGTCTTAGCTCATCCAGTTGTAGTTCGCATTGCAATCTAGTCGGTCCCGTCCTTAATGCAACTGCATATTCCAAAGTTTCGAGAAAACTTCCTCTTGGCTTGGAAACGTCTAAAGAAATAATAAGAGATCTGATTAATGATTCGAATGGATCATTTTGTTCTTCAGTGTCACTTTTTTCATCGTTTTCATCGTTTTCAAAATTTTTCTCTCTTTGATAAGGAATTTGAAAGACATCATCGGTTGTTGGGATTTCAATATCACGATTTAGGATACTTGTGATGATTCTGCAGTCGTCTTTTAACAAATAAATGAGTTTTTCGTTTTTCATTAAAACTGTCTTTAATTTTTCTTCATTTGGTTGAGTTCTGACGTAATTCTTGGCCGTGGCAATATCTGTGATAAGAGAATCTATGATTTCGGAGCATTCTTCGATCTGTGGAACCATGTATTCAAATGTTTTCGTTTCTATGCATGGAAGAAGGCCGTAAAGCGATGGATTGAGTAAAACTGGTTCTAGTATTGACTTTACGAAGAATTCTTTGGCATCTTTGACGTCATTCAGTATTTGTCTGAGTGATATTGGGAATAAGAACGAACGATTAGAGAAAAGGCCAATCAAATCACGTAAAGGACGCTGTTCTTGAAGTATTATTTCTGCATCTATGCGAACAGAATCGAGAAAAACGTAAAAAGACTGATGAACTAAAATTGATTTTGTTAAAATCGGGTAAAATTTCGGATCAAATGTTTTGAAGAATTCGATGTAGCTTTCAATTTCATAGTCACTCCAAAAACATGAGAACAAAGCTGGGATGAATGAAAAAACAATGTAATTTTCGGATTCTGGATGCTCTGTGAGGAATTTTGAGATACCATCTACGGTGTTTTGTATTTGCTTTGGGTCTTTAACAGTTGCTATTGCATTTTGATAAGCTCTTTGCTGCGTAGCTGTGAAACCAGATGGGAAGTTCTTTGAAAGCGTGATCAGGTCAGGAACCGGAATGACAGCTCCAGTTTTCATTTGTTCAACAATCGATAGATGAAGTGAATAAACTTTTCTTGTTAAAAATATTAATTTTTTGATTGAATCGTATGAATCTTTTTGAAATGATTTGATTTTCTGCCATTCTATATCAAAGAAAGCTTGCTCACGATGTAGAAGCTGCTTTAAAGTTAAAAGTGAGTCTGGACTCGTGCTCATTTCAACTCGTTGTCACTTTTTATTCAATTTCCATGCTATCTTATCGTTAAGGGTGGCTTCCGACCAAATTGTCACTTTTTAGCCCAAGTGAGAAAATTTCGTAATTTATAACCAAGTTTTTTAAAATCTATATTTAATAAAGATTCTATTTTTCTTATTAAATTTCAAAAATGAGGGGGTTCGGAATCGTCCACAAATTGCCGAAGAGAAAGGGACAGACTAGCCCATTGTCACTTTTTAATTTAGCAAATGAACGCTTATGGAGTGGAGTTTTTGGGTAAATCTGATTTGCTTATAAATGAAATAAAATCAAAAGAAACCATATTGGCATTATATTATGCAAAAATAAATGATCTTACTTAGTACTTTTAAAGTTAATTTCAGAAAAAATTTGACACAATGGTATCCGGCACATACAAGTGGTGTACAACCAAAATATAAGTTAGTTTAAACATATATTGCTATATCTCATGATCTTACTTAGTACTTTTAAAGTTAATTTCAGAAAAAATTTGACACAATGGTATCCGGCACATACAAGTGGTGTACAACCAAAATATAAGTTAGTTTAAACATATATTGCTATATCTCATGATCTTACTTAGTACTTTTAAAGTTAATTTCAGAAAAAATTTGACACAATGGTATCCGGCACATACAAGTGGTGTACAACCAAAATATAAGTTAGTTTAAACATATATTGCTATATCTCATGATCTTACTTAGTACTTTTAAAGTTAATTTCAGAAAAAATTTGACACAATGGTATCCGGCACATACAAGTGGTGTACAACCAAAATATAAGTTAGTTTAAACATATATTGCTATATCTCATGATCTTACTTAGTACTTTTAAAGTTAATTTCAGAAAAAAATTTGACACAATGGTATCCGGCACATACAAGTGGTGTACAACCAAAATATAAGTTAGTTTAAACATATATTGCTATATCTCATGATCTTACTTAGTACTTTTAAAGTTAATTTCAGAAAAAATTTGACACAATGGTATCCGGCACATACAAGTGGTGTACAACCAAAATATAAGTTAGTTTAAACATATATTGCTATATCTCATGATCTTACTTAGTACTTTTAAAGTTAATTTCAGAAAAAATTTGACACAATGGTATCCGGCACATACAAGTGGTGTACAACCAAAATATAAGTTAGTTTAAACATATATTGCTATATCTCATGATCTTACTTAGTACTTTTAAAGTTAATTTCAGAAAAAATTTGACACAATGGTATCCGGCACATACAAGTGGTGTACAACCAAAATATAAGTTAGTTTAAACATATATTGCTATATCTCATGATCTTACTTAGTACTTTTAAAGTTAATTTCAGAAAAAATTTGACACAATGGTATCCGGCACATACAAGTGGTGTACAACCAAAATATAAGTTAGTTTAAACATATATTGCTATATCTCATGATCTTACTTAGTACTTTTAAAGTTAATTTCAGAAAAAATTTGACACAATGGTATCCGGCACATACAAGTGGTGTACAACCAAAATATAAGTTAGTTTAAACATATATTGCTATATCTCATGATCTTACTTAGTACTTTTAAAGTTAATTTCAGAAAAAATTTGACACAATGGTATCCGGCACATACAAGTGGTGTACAACCAAAATATAAGTTAGTTTAAACATATATTGCTATATCTCATGATCTTACTTAGTACTTTTAAAGTTAATTTCAGAAAAAATTTGACACAATGGTATCCGGCACATACAAGTGGTGTACAACCAAAATATAAGTTAGTTTAAACATATATTGCTATATCTCATGATCTTACTTAGTACTTTTAAAGTTAATTTCAGAAAAAATTTGACACAATGGTATCCGGCACATACAAGTGGTGTACAACCAAAATATAAGTTAGTTTAAACATATATGCTATATCTCATGATCTTACTTAGTACTTTTAAAGTTAATTTCAGAAAAAATTTGACACAATGGTATCCGGCACATACAAGTGGTGTACAACCAAAATATAAGTTGGTTTAAACATATATTGCTATATCTCATGATCTTACTTAGTACTTTTAAAGTTAATTTCAGAAAAAATTTGACACAATGGTATCCGGCACATACAAGTGGTGTACAACCAAAATATAAGTTAGTTTAAACATATATTGCTATATCTCATGATCTTACTTAGTACTTTTAAAGTTAATTTCAGAAAAAATTTGACACAATGGTATCCGGCACATACAAGTGGTGTACAACCAAAATATAAGTTGGTTTAAACATATATTGCTATATCTCATGATCTTACTTAGTACTTTAAAGTTAATTTCAGAAAAAATTTGACACAATGGTATCCGGCACATACAAGTGGTGTACAACCAAAATATAAGTTAGTTTAAACATATATTGCTATATCTCATGATCTTACTTAGTACTTTTAAAGTTAATTTCAGAAAAAATTTGACACAATGGTATCCGGCACATACAAGTGGTGTACAACCAAATCTTCGACTCGATGAACTTGTCATCGAGTTATATTCCAGTGTTGTTCCTTCATTCCTGATTAAGTTGCAAATTAAAGGTCTGGATTCAGAGAGAAGTGTTAAAGTTATCAAAAAAGTCACAAGAGATTTCGAAGAAATGACACAATTTAAAAAAGTCGAATGCATCAGTATGCTTGAAGCTGTTCAGAAAGGTCTGAAAAATGATACACTTGATCCCAACATTGTTTACTCAACATTAAAAATATTATTGCAAAGAAAACATTTGATTTAATAAACATTTAATTTATTATAATTAATTTTTTATTACAGTATAGTAAAAATGCTATAAATAAATTATTATATTTTATTAAAATGTGACTTTTAATAGTAAGTGAATAAAATAAATCAGGAATTGGGAAAGAAATAAGGTTAATTAAAAATAATGAAAATTACAAGTTTAAGGTTAATGAAAAGTGACAATGGGCGAGTTTGTCCCCCACTCATTGAACACCATATGTTTTTGTATACTTTTACAAAAAAATTAATAGATTTGTGATACTTCCCCCGATGATAGAATTGAATAGCTTACATTTTGACAGAACTTAATATGGAACAGTAGTATATGAGTGCGGGTTGTGTGACTTTTTTTGTTACATCTATATATAGACGATGCATTAAAATATATTTATTTATAAATCATTAAAAAATTAACATTAATTTTAAAATAATTTATTTTTTTATCTTTTATAAAAGAAGCTATATATAGATGATGTCAGATATTCCGCGATTAATTAAACATTGTTTAAATCCCGAATGGATTAAACTTCAATTTAAAAATGAAGATTGTGAATTATTAAATGAATATGAAAGCCAAAATAAGCTAATGAGGTATAAATATAATGATAAAGAATATTTAATTTCATGGAATCAATGGAGTCATAATCAAAGACCTCATAAACGAGAAGAAGAAATTGAAAATAATGAAATGGAAATCATTGATGACATTAAAGAGGATGGAATTCCTAAATTTTGTAGAAAAACCTTTAGAACTAAGTTAGGAGCATATAAACGTAGAGTATTAAATCCTGAATATCTTAAACATATATTTAAAAAGGAAGACTGTGAATTATTAAACGTTAATGATTATGAAAATGCAAAATCAAAACTGAGATATAAATATATTGGAAGTGATGAAAGATGTAAAGATAAAGATAAAGTTTATACAGTTTCATATAATAACTGGCACACGTTAGGGATAAGAAAACATTTAGGAGATTATGGTAAAAGTTCTGAATTCTTTAAATCTAGTATATACGAGAGAGTAAAAGAAATCAGATATAATTATCATTCATGAATGAAAGATTCACTACCATAATGAAATAAAAAAAATAGATTTTAAACATTCATGTCTTACATTTATGAAAATTTATTTTTATTTTGTATGAAACCGATTTTAAAAATTCATGTCTTACATTTTTTGAATAATTTATTTTTTTTAATTCGTAAGAAAATGAGTGGATCAAGATTCGTAACCGTCAATCAATTAATGGATGTTCTTTCACCAATTCTTGAAAATGTTAAACAAGTAGATGTTTATTTCGATGATTATGTAGAAAGTATATATTATAAAGGTAAGTTTAATATTAAACCTATTGCTTTTGCATTTGATAATAAATTAATCGAAAATTCAAAAATTTGGGAATTAATTCCAGATATTGAATTTATAACAAATATTAATGATAAATGGTTTAAACGAATTCCAACCACAAAAGTTCTTTGTAAATTAATGAAAAAAAAAAAAAAAAAAAAAAAAAAAAAAAGGGAGTGGGGCTTCCAGGCACTTCGTGCCTTCTAGCCCTAAGAATTTTTCCCAAGACCCAAGAGGAGGACCGAACCCCAGCCGACCAGCCGTTGATTTTTTTGTCAAGACTTCTTCGTAAATGTTTTGTCAAGACTTCATCGTAAATGTTTTGTCAAGACTTCTTCGTAAATGTTTTGTCAAGACTTCTTCATCGTAAATGTTTTGTCAAGACTTCTTCGTAAATGTTTTGTCATGATTTCATCGTAATGAGCGTAAATGACCCAAAAATATAATTTAGGTGAAGAGGTGAGATGTCACCCGTTTTCTCACCTGTTTTCTCACCTCTTGAATTTTCATGATTTCATCGTAAATGTTTTGTCGAAACTTCTTCATCGTAAATGTTTTTAACTTCACTTAAAATGCCACGTAAGCTACGTAAGAATATACGTAAGAGGAAGGGAGCATTGAAACATCCAAAAGTAAAACTGACACCACAACAACAGTTGCAACAACAAATGCTGAATGACCCCACTATGTTGCAACAAATGTCAAGCAATCCTATGCTTTTAAACCGAGTTGTTGGTGCACAGAGTGGAGGTTTAAGAGCGGCACTTTTAGCGAAAATGGCAGGCTATGGTGGAGCTGCAGACGGAACAGCCTATAACCCTCAAAGTCAAATGAATTTGAGTTCACTCAAAAATCAAATAACAGATGTCAAAAAGTCAAACATAGACATACAGAAGCAAATAAGTGAAAACGAAAAGAAACTAGAATATGACAGACACACAAAGAAACTCAATGAGTTAAACGTAGAGAAAAAGAAGAAAGAAGAACAACTGAAAGAACTAAGTACAGAGGAATATGCGAAAAAAAGTGTCAGAAAAAGCAGCAGAAGTAGCAAAAATGGAACAAGATGTCATAAATTTGAAAAACCATACTACTCGATATAAAGTACTGAAAGATGAAGAGATAAAACAAAAAGCCCTGAAGACATATATGGATAGCGATGAGTATAAAAAAGAAGTTGAAGCAAATGTAAAGCAGAAAAACTTTTACAGTTGCAAAACCAAACCGTACAGTATGAAAACTTAGCACAAGAAAGTAAAAATAACGACGCAGCCATGCAAAAGGCAATGAAAAGCGCAGAATATATAAAAGCTAACAATGACTGGTTAGATGCCCAAGCCAACGCTAAAGCAGCCCAGCTTATAGGGTCAATAAGGACAAAAATACAAGCGGATGAAGACAGTTCAAATGAAGCTTTAACAAATGCTGACTTTAAGAACGCCTTCGAAGCTCTTCATAGTGAAGGTGAAACAAGTGAACGACTTCTCATCTGGAAAGAAACTGAAGTCTGAAGGTTTCGACAAAGAGTTAAAAGAAGTAGCACAAAATATGACGAAAATAACAGATGCAGCAACGAGACAGGCAGTTCAAAGTGCCTATGACGCCGTTAGAGCAACTGTTGTGAAAAGTCAAGAAAAAGAGTTACAACAGACCAAAACAGACCTAGTAAATGCTTTCTTAAAAACGAAAAGTCAGGTAGGACATTATGCTGCAGATGGAACATATGTGCCAGCTGGTGGAACTTATATACCACCAAACCCTCCAAGAGAAGCACCTGCACCAGGACTACCTAAAACATTTACATCGTCACATGGACACAGACACAGGCATGCACCAAAACCAGCACAACAACCACCTCCACAACCAGCACAACAACCAACACAACAACCAGCACAGCAACCAACAGTTCAAAACCCTGCACAACAACAACCACAAACAGAGCAAGGACATAAAAGAAGTAGAGAACAAGGAAACCAAGAATTCTTAAAAATGCTTAAAGAAGAGTGGTTTCCCAGATACTGTTGACTTTAGTGACAGATATAAAGAAGCTATTAGAAAGTTCAAGGATGGAAATACTGACCCGAACCTATTTAGCTTTATGGCTCAGCACCAAAACGGATATAATCTCAAACCTGGAAAATACAAGCTCGCTAAGGGATATGATTTAATAGCATATCATCCAAATGACATGGATGAATTTACTCCGAGAATTTGATGTCAGAGCTAAATGACAATTCAACTTTCGTCATGAAACGCGTAAAAAATAGAGACGGAACGAAAGAACAAAAGCTTATGAATGCGGATGACGTAGATAGGGAAATTGTTGAAAACGGTCTCGGAATATATGAAATGCCAGCAGATGAGGTACAAGAAACTCCACAGGAAGAAGTTCAGATACAACCAGACATGGAAGAAATAGTTCAGCAACAACAGCTAGAAGAGCCTGAAGGAAACGAACAAGTCCTTCCTTTGGAAACTAACTTCACAGAACTAGATGAAGATTTGGAACAGCCGAAAAATCTTGACCCTCAACAAGAGTATGCGGAGAATATGGAATATTTCCAAGAGTCTAAAAAAAATTCGGCTGACATAGTAGAAGAATATCGAAAAATGTTTGCCGACATACAAAAGACTCCAACATCAGATGAAAATATCCAGCATAGAATGGAAGAACTGAAAAAAAAATGTACACAAATACAACAACCCTTTTTACTTACGAGCATTTAACGTTCAATCTTCGGATGAACTCGGTGAAAATAAAAGGTTAAATTTCAACAAAACATATAGAAATGAAACATTGTTTAAAGTTCATTCAGAACCTAGCCAATATGGAAACAAACCTACTTTTGTTTCTGCAGACGATGGAACTACAATGAGATGGGGTCATAAAGCTAATCCGGATAGGTGGTTCATAAACTTACAACCACAATTCCAAGAAGTTGTAGACGCAATGGAAGTGAATGGTGAACCAGATGTAGCTGGTATTTTCAGCGCGGCTTTAATGCCATTGAAAGATATGAAAGATGCAGATATTTTGGACCAGTATGAAATGAACATGGCTGATGGAAATATAACACCTGACGTTCTAAAACATTTATCTCAAAGAACTACACAGAACCATAGAGATGGTATATTTGGTGAAGAGTTTAGAAAGAAAGTTAGGGAGATAGAAGGAAGAGAACCTATTGTACATGACCTTGCAAACGAAAGTTTACAAAATGTCATAAAAACTTACTTTGCAGACAATGAACCGAGAAGGGATGAATATTTAAGTAAACTCAAATGGACAGTACCAAATGAAATGTTAGTATTGAAAAACATGTTCCTTGACAAAATAAAACCAACTACAGAAATAAACGACGCAAGACTGAAAGATTGGGTAAAAGCTTTCCCATTCACAAAAGATATAGTTGGTAACATGGAAAGAAAACCAGAATGGCTACAAAAACATATATTTGGAAACGAGCTTATTCCATATGGACAGGCACTGTTTGAAGAGCTTGAACCGGAAACTCAGGAAAGAGTCATGCAAACAATAAGCGACGACTCAAATACAAACTATGACAAACTCTTTCTAGGATATAGGTTACCTGAGATGGGCGACCAGAGCCAAAAGGCAAAAAGGACATGGGAAATTTGCAACATACTAGATGAACATAATGCAAAGATGCAACAACTTCAAGCAGAGGGCAATGAAGGAAAAAGAAGAGTTAAAAACTCAGTCAGGAAGAAAGTAAAGCTTGGTCCACGTGGGTTCTATTATGACATATAAATCCAACTATTCTATATTTTTACTCATATGAAATGTACGCCGCTCAGAATATAACGCCAACAGTTTTGGATGCTATGAATGGAAATGTTTCCGAATGGTATAACGAATGCGACAATGCCATTAGAAGGTCAGAAATAGTTCCTGGAACTTACGAATATACAACTGCTGTTTCTTATGGAAACGTAGGTGAGTTTGGAGAAGGTTCTTCAACAACAGTAGATATTGCTTGCGACAGGTTTCATATAATTTCTATTGACAACTCTTTCTTATACGTGGAACAAGACATTGAAATAAAACCTTCTGCCAAGTTGTCTGACAAGAAAGGTTGCAATGGAATTTTCTATGTCGGATACCAATATGCTCCAGAAGTTTTCATGGGATATAAGATATATTCTAACTCTGACTTAGTTCAAACAGTAACATGGGCAAACTATGAATGGTTCGCTTTGAGAAACTCAGTACAACCACAAGCTAGAGAACAAACAGACCAGTATGCCACCATTGAGAAAATAAGAAGACTTGACCCTAACGTTCCAGGAGTTTATGTTGACCTTTCTGGACAAACTGCAGCAGCAGTAACCAAAGTAAAATTGAAACTTAGAGTTCCTTTGTCATCTTTCCTCATCTTCAGGTTTTTAAGATACTTGCCAAACTGGGCAGAAAAATTTCTATCGAACTTACTCCAAGCAAAAATAACTTAGTCATTGCACCAAACACAAGACCCATTCACTCTTACTGTAGCTGGAACTGGTGGAGCCAAGTTCTGTGACTTTTGCAAAGACAAAGTTGACTTAGACTTTGGTTTCTCAAACCTCAACACTGAAGTAAACTACTACTTCAATGCTGCTGGAACTGCTTGGGACCCAGTTAAGTTCACATGCGAAAAGTTTGAATGCAAGAGAATAGAAAGCAGACTTGCAGTCTATATGTTGGACCCAGATATTTCAAATGCTTTAGCTGCCAAATATATTGCAGTTCCACTTATGTTCCCTATACACCAAATATCTGTCAAAGACTTTGCAGGTGAAGTTGGAAACCAAAGTGCTGACCCAGGTGCAAGAACAGATATTGCTTTAACAACTGCAATGAAACATGCAGATACTATGTTTGTACTGTTCAGACGAACTATAAATGACTATTCTTGTTTCTACAACCCTGGTATTAAATATCATATAAACATAGATGGCAAATACTATCCAAGAGAAGAATATTCACAGTTGAGGATATGAGGTCATACAACTTGACATTAGATTGCTATGAACTTTAACAACAACTTCACAACAACCATTAACCCTGAAATGCAAAGTTCTATTATGCCATATGTGAAAGTATGGACTCATACAGGAGCTCAAAACACTCAATATACAAATGGAGACCGTTCAAAACTTTTGGCTTGGCATTCCATTTGCTGACTCAGAAGACTTTATGGGTGGTATTTCAACTGTTGGTACAGTTCAAATACAATATACTGGTGACAGAGACGGTCCAAATGAATTGAAAGCAAAGAAGTTTACAAAACCAATAGCACTTTTCACGGAAGATGCTCTTTTGAAGATTCGTTCGATGAAACCTGCTGGGGCTCCTCAGATTGGCATAACGACAGCTTCCATCGAGCAGATTTTGGCAGCAGGTCAGTAAGTTGTTCTTGAACTGACTTCTCTCCGTCAAATATTGACAGTACGCCAGTTTTGACATAAAATTGTATTATAAAACTTACCTTTAGAAAATATCGGTCAGTTTTGTTGTTATATTTTTGTCTGCTTCAAGAACTTTCACCATCTCGGTTATACCAACTTTCTTTGCTTTATGAAAATATTTTGGTTCAGCAAAGACTGCTATTCTATAACATTTTCCATTGTTTGTATAAAGCTAATTCTATCAATGAACTTGTATTGTTTGTGTGTGTAAACTTTGTTCTGCTTCAATTCGAAGAGATACTCGAATACGTCCATCTTTTTATTCTAAGTAAAATGTCATTTCCGAAAAATAGAAGCGTGAGTGTTTCAAAAGGTTTAATGGCGGTGGCAGATGTGAAGTTAAATTCACCAACTCAAACAAACAGTCAAAGTGTTGTTGTCAAATGTCAAAGAAAGAGATGTTGAAGTGGGGAAACCATACGAAGACGAAGATGGTATAACAATTGTTCCTGTAAAAGAACAACCAACATATCCTGAAGTTAGCAGAGACTTAAGTTCTGTTGCAGATATTCGAAACGACTACCAACAACTGAAAAAACAAACTTCAAACTCAGGAGAAGATTTGTCAAGCTTTAGGTATAATGTTAAACTTGGTCGAACACAACCCTGTAAAAGTGAACTCATATGTCATTGCACCTCATGAAGTTTTGAAAGAACTATTGAAACTTTTGACAGAGGCAGACGATATAAACATCAAAGAAATAGAACCCGACGTTAGTTGTGTGGTGTTTCATATAATGTCATTGACAAGATATACGTTATGAAAGGAGGTGAAACGTTGAACTTAAAATATAGTTTCCCAGACGTCATAAAAATATTTGACGACCACAACATTTCATTAAAGTTTGTTTGCTAAGTAAATGGCAGAAGACATAGTGGTTTATACTATTACGACATAAAAACCCTGAGTCATATAATTCTATAACAACAAACTTACAAAGTCCTCAAGGACGATATTGTAAACTGACCTTAAACACGATGACGACTAAAGCCTGTTTTGCTCTTTTGACACCAGAAGACTTTGTTGTTGTGAATGGTAAAAAATACTTCTTTGAAGATACTTACTCAGATATACCACCAACAGGTTTTGTTGACTTATTTAATACTTTAAGGACGGATGTAACATGTGCTGCAACTAGAGCAGGTTTCATTATGTTTGGATGTCCGACTGAGTTTAGTATAAACGATATGAGCTATAATACAAAACTTATATCTGGTTTTTACTACCAACAGTTTCCTATAACAGGAAAAGGTGTCATACAAGGAATGTCTGTTCCATTGACTTTAAGTACACCTATTTTATATATTGTTTCAAACTTAGGTTCAAAGTGCTATTCGAATGTTGACAGAAACTACTATGACCAAAAGATACTCATGCGTATAAACAACACATTCTCTGCTGGTTTGCCTATTGTTCATTCGAATGCAGAATTTTCAACCTTAGTGAACTCAACACTTTTGGCAAGTATAACGTTGACATTAGTTGACGCAAACTTTGTTCCTGTAAAACTTTTATGTCCTATGTATTTGTCAATGACGGCAGAAAGTTTCGAATTGGAAGATGCAACCGGTGAAAGTATTGTATTACAAGAACAACTTCAACAACAAATAGCTCAAGAACAACAAATGCAACAAATGGAACAACAAAGTCAAGAATAAAAAAATAATATTTTTTTTATTTTTATAAAAATGTACAGAATAGATGTTTCAGATTTTTTATGACTTCCAAGCATTCAGAAATATGTGTCCATTTAGAGACTATAACAAAGCAGTCGAGAATTTGAAACGTTTAGTCATTTATGTTGACTCTGCCCAGAATGTTATGTTATGAAAGAATGGGATGTTGTCTTTAACAAACCAAGAGCAACAATAGTGTCTGAACAGGAATGTAGACAGAAACTTAAGAAAATAAAAGTTGTACAAGTTGGAATGAAGATGTTAGATGCTTGGGATATCTTATTGTCAAAGTTAGAAGATTTTTCAGTTCGAGGTATAAAGTTCTATACACCTTCTCCAAACTTCTATTCTATCTTCACTGGATATAAATACGAACAAGTAGAATGGAAAGAAAATATTATAGAAGCTTGGTTAGACCATGTCAAAGAAATTATATGCAATGGAAACGAAAAGGTTTATGAGTATATCTTATGTTGGTTTGCAAATATCTTACAACATCCAAGTGCTAAAAATGAAACTGCTCTCATTATAATTGGAAAACAAGGAACAGGTAAGAACACATTCTTTACAGATATTTTGTGCAAACTGTTAGAGGGCTATTCGAACCGAATATGACAAACATAGAAAACATCTGCGGTAAATTTAACTCCTCAATAGAGAATATGAAACTTATAGTTTGCAATGAACTTCAAAGTATAGATACAACAAAAGTTTTGAACTCAGATGCTTTGAAGAGTCTTATAACAGACAAAGTTGGAGTTGTTGAAAGAAAATATAAAGACCAAAGAGTTTGTGAAAATGTTGCAAACTTCATTATGGTTTCAAACAATGCTGTTCCGATGAAGTTAGAAAGTTCTGACAGAAGATATGTAGTTGTCAGAACGTCAGATTCTCATATGCAAGATACAGAATATTTTGACGACTTAGCAGAAACTTTGACATCTGACTTTTACAACCACTTGTTCTCATATTTCATGACATTAGATATTTCTAACTTCAATCCAAGACAAATTCCACATACCGAAGAAAGACAAACATTGTTAGAAGCAAACAAGAGTGTATATGAACTGTTTATAGATGAGACTAACTTTGAGTGTTTAGATGAAAGGTCATTGTACGATGAATATAAACAATATTGCCAAGAGTATGGTTATATGACAGCGTCTAAACGAACATTCTTGGCAAATGTCAAAAATCTTTTAGATGTTCAGAACGGCGTATATACAAAGAAAAATTTTTCTGAGTAAATTTTATAAAAAAAATATTTTTTTATCCGATAGAAAAGATGACGAAATATATTTCAGTCAACAAATATATGTCAGGACTTAAAGAAGAACTAGACCCATTCGCTTATTTGAATGTTTACTTCTACCATTTTGAAAAGTCTACATTTGACAAAGTTTGGAACATCGAACCAGTTAAGTTTGCTATTGTGACTAAAAATGGTGCGAAATTTGAAGACTTAGACATAGAAGGTTTGTTAGCAGTCAAAGAAAATTTTGACAGAAGGTTCTCAAACCTTAAAGAAGGCAAAGCATACAAACTTGTTATACCTTATGAACCAAAGAAGACAGACGACTATGAATATTATGAGTCTAAGATAGTTGAAGTTCAAGGTAAGTTGGGTAAAAAAGATTTTAGAGTCTAAGCCAGTGTTTGCTCCTAAAGAGGAAGAGAACATTGACATTGACCCAGAAATGTTCTAAAAATAAAATTTTATTTTTACATGTCAAATTTCTTTTTCTCTGGAACTGGCTCTGGTTCTTTCTTCTCTTCTTCTACTTTCTTTTCTTTCTTCTCTCTCTTCTTCTTCTTCTCTGGTGGAGTTATGTCAAACTTCTCAGAACCATATTTTTGTAAAAGGTCTTTGTCCTTTAATAGCTCTTCTATTCTGTTTTCTATTTCATCTTCAAGAACAGCGCATGTGTCTTCTTTGCATTCTAAGAACTTTTGTTGGACTTCATCTTTCCAATCGGCGTCATCTCTGTCAACAAGTCTGTCATTGACAAATTTTAAGACTTCTCTGCTTAATGTTTTATGGTTCTTGTCATATTCCCAGAAACAGAACTTTAGAACAAATTCACCTTTCTTGTTTACACTATGTAAGATTTTATGGTCGACAGATGTTTTGCTGTCAAAAAGCTTGTCTCGAATATAGATAGCGAAATCGCTAGACATTTTCAAAAAGATAAAAATTTTAATTTTTCTAAAAATATGTTAGAAAAAAAGTTTGCTGACATTGACAAGAAATTTGAGAATGTTTTAAACAAGAACAAGAGGAAGTTAGAAAATGCTCAGATAAAGCCTATACATGACAAGTTCCTATTTGCTCAGAATGGTATAACAGGTCTAATCGCACCACCTGGGTCGGGTAAGACTTTCACTTATCTTAAAATGGCTGCACAACAACAAGAACTAGATGAGAAGAACCCATTCTATGAGTTAGTTGTTATTTGTAGTACTTCTGGTCAATTTGACCAAACCGTCAATTCGTTCAAAGATATTATAAAAAAGTCTAAGTTAGTATGTATAAAAGACTCTGAGTTGTTAGATTGGATAAAGAAGTACCAAAGAAGAGTTTTGAAGTATAATGCTATAAATGAGTATATAAATTCGAAGTTTAAAGACCCAAATGAGGAAATGCAGAGAATATTAGAGAAGAAACACTTCAGAAACAAACAGAAAGAGATAGAATACATTTCGAAGAAATTGCAATCTTACGATTGGAAAACGTACCCTCATAGATGTCTTCTTATCTTAGATGATTTCGCCTCTCATCCTTTGTTAAAGAATAGAGAACAAGACATGTGTCGAATTCTTAAGAAGCTCAGACACTTTAACATTTCAGTTGTCATTTGTGTACAGACAGCAAAGAGTTTAAGTAAGGATGTAAAGAGAATACTTACTGACATTATACTTTTCCCTGGATTGTCCGAAGACGATTTCATGGAACTTATGAAAGAGTCCATGGCAGGTAAGTTTGACAGACATGAACTATGGGAGAAGTATAAAGTCATACAAGACCCTCATACTTCTTTCAGAATTCATATCTACGCAAACAAAGTTCAAATTGTAAAAAGTCAAGCTTGAAAAATAAATGGTTAGTCTTAGTAAGTCTGTTGTGGTGCTGGGGCTGTCGGTTCTTCTGGCTTTGGAATGGACTCGGTTGGTGGTACGTCGGACATTCGTTTGTGTCCTGTCGGAAGGAAGGACTTTTCCTGTCGGAAGGAAGGACTTTTCCTGTTGGAAGGAAGAGTTCTTCCTGTTGGAAGGAAAATTTTTTCCTGTTGGAAGGAAAATTTTTTCCTGTTGGAAGGAAAATTTTTTCCTGAAGTTCGACCAAAAAGTTCTCAATTTTCGAAAATTTGAATGGTTTACGGACGGACAACTGGAAAAATTTTTCCTGTTGGAAGGAAGGACTTTTCCTGTCGGAAAGAAAAACTTTTCCTGTTGGAAGGAAGGACTTTTCCTGTTGGAAAGAAAAACTTTTCCTGTTGGAAAGAAAAACTTTTCCTGTTGGAAAGAAAAACTTTTCCTGTCGGATGGAAGGACTCGGAATGTCGGATGGAAGGACTCGGAATGCCAGAAGGATTTGACAAGACAATTTACCTTATAGAGCTACCTGAGCCATCTGAAGTCAAGCGTAAAAATAAATGGCTCATCTACCCTACTTGTTTGAAGTTGTCAAAATACTCTGTTATTTTTTCCTTTAACAATGGCAAATCTTCTTTGAAGGTAAGTATTGTACAACCTTTCATATCATAGTGTGTTTGAGGTAACGTATCTTGAACTATTTGTTTCACATCTTCATTCGGTGTCATTGAAATCGGTAAGTTTTCGCGATAGAACCAATTTCTGTCAGATTTGTAAATCTTAGCAAGGTCGTAAAAGCTTTTGTTGTTTCTTCTGACTAAATGCAACATAACCATATCTCTGTCTTCTTCATTTTCCATCTCTTCAGTATAAATCATATACTTATAGTTCTTTTCCTTTCCTTTTGGTACCGAACGTGGTATTCTTTTCTGAATGCTTTTGTCTTTTGCTTCAAGCTTGTTCTCTAGCTCTTCACGTTCTTGTCTATGAATTTCGTCAAGAAGTCTGTAAATATTCCAAGCATAACGAGGCGAAGCCCACATTGCAACAGCATTTACAAGAAGTCTATGTACATAATATCCTCTCAAACCGTTTGGCAATTTTTCACGATTTTCATAGAGTTTTGGCGACTGGGGTTTTATACCCACTCGCTGTGCTTCACTGTTTTCAGAAAAAAGTATGTCTCGCTGTGCTTCACTCAAAAGTTCTTGTGTGCTTTGGTTCCTAAACCAGTCTTTAGGAAGCTTAGTATCTGGAGCAAAACATGCTGTCAAAATACTTTGCATTTGGTACATATCGTCTTTGACCGAACGAATGAGACGGAGTTGTTTGTTAAACTGAACCCACTCATATTCTTCATTTATAGCTTCATGGACTATAACTGTTGTTGTGTTCTCGGTTGTTGACATATCTGTCTTTACATACAAGATAAAAAAATAAATAAAAATAAAACTAACTTTATTTTTTCTATCTTAAGGAAATTCATGATTTTTGTTGCTGAATTCAATAAAAATAATGTTTAGGTGAAGAGGTGAGATGTCACCTGTTTTCTCACCTCTTTTCTCACCTCTTGAATTTTCATGATTTCATCGTAAATGTTTTGTCAAGACTTCTTCATCGTATATGTTTTGTCGAAACTTCTTCGTAAATGTTTTGTCAAGACTTCATCGTAATGAGCGTAAATCAGACAAAAATAATGTTTAGGTGAAGAGGTGACATCTCACCCGTTTTCTCACCTCTTTTCTCACCTCTTGAATTTTCATGATTTCATCGTACATGTTTTGTCAAGACTTCTTCGTACATGAATTTTCATGATTTCATCGTAAATGTTTTGTCAAGACTTCTTCGTAATGAGCGTAAATGACCCAAAAATATATTTTAGGTGAAGAGGTGACATCTCACCCGTTTTCTCACCTCTTTTCTCACCTCTTTTTTCACAAGCGTTTTACATGAATTGTACGATGTATATTTGAAATCCTAAACAATTTCGTAGCTTCTATTTCTTCTTTTAGTATGTCAAATGTTTTTAACGATACCGAAAGTTTCTTTATACTTCTTCTTGACATCAGATAGAAGGAAATCGTCTGCTGTTGGATAGTTTTTGTTCAGAAATTCTAACATGTCCATTTTATTTTCTGCTGGCTTTTCTGCTTCTTTCTTTAAATCTGCATAGTCGTTTCTCATTCTTTCTATCTCTTTGACGGAGTAGTTATATTTCCTCATTGCTGCTTTACATTTTGAACATTGCGGGTTCATTTTTGCATTGTACATTGAAACCTTACCTGCAAGTACGACTAAGGCGTCAATGGTTTTCTTTAAATCTGAAGCAGTTGGTCTTATCTGTTCGTTCCATATTTTACCCCTTCTGTCTTTATCTCTTATCTGCCATACACATTCAGCAACTAACGAAACAAAGTTGTCGTAGGTCTTAAACTCCCCAGATTTATATATGTCAGAGATGTTCTTATATACCATATCGCAGTCTTTGTCCATGACTTTGTGGTTGCAATGAAAACCAAGGAATTCATAATTTACCTTTCGTATGAACTTCTTTATTTCTACCGAGTCAGTTGGTTTCACTTCAATTTCGTCGAATTCAGGAATAGTTAGTTTTTTGTTGTTGGATTTCAGGTAGTTTAGGTAGATGGTCAATAATATCCTGCATTTCATAAAGATACTGTTCATTTTCTTCATCTTTCGCACTACAGTCTAAATTACTTGTTAACAGTTCTTGCTTTATCTTCTGGATTTCTGTTTCGAAAGTATATGAAGAAGGAATGAAGCTTTTCATTTCTACTAACATTGACGTAGGATTCATGACTAACGAGTTTTGGTGAAGTTGTTGCTAACATGTTCTTACAATAAAAATAAAAAAAATATTTTATAAAAAACTAAAATAATATTTTTTATCTTAAGGAAATTCATGAAAATCCAACGGGTGAGAAAACAGGTGAGAAAACGGGTGACATCTCACCTCTTCACCTAAAATATATTTTTGTCGAAAAAAATGGTTCATTTACTCACAATATTTTTGTACAAAACAACCCCAAGCTTTTAACCTCTCTTCTGCAGCTTCTAATGCTATCTTAGCGAGTTCATATTCTCTAAATTCTCTCTTTAAATCTTCTTGTTCCCATTGGTCTAGTTCGTATGGCGAGTCTCTATAACCAGAACATATCTCACGTTCATGTTCTATTTGTTTTTCATGCATTTTTCTAACTTCTTCTTCGAACAAAGGTTTTGCATTCTCTACTGTATCTTCAAGTTCTTCTTCATCTAATTTCTCATGAACTTTCTTGTCTATGGAGTCCATAATTTTTCCAACTGCTATGCAATATTTTGGAGAAGCCCACATTGCTATATAGTTTACAAGTCTTGGGTCTACATACGTTCCTCTAACATGTTTGATTTCATCCGGAATTCCTGCATGAACTTTGTATAAAAAGCAACCGCCGGAATTCCGGCGGTTGGTATATTCTTCACAAAATGCCTCAAAATACTCTTCCCAGGACTTATTTTCCAACAACTTTCTAAAGTCTTTCCTAAACTGCTGACACATATTTGTTGCATTTACATAACCATCCATGTCTCTACGTAAGACTTCAATACCGTTGTAAGTGCCTTTTGTGAATGTTTCGCCATTAGATTTGTTCGTGAACGTTTTTGCTTCGACTGTCATTTCTGTTCTTACAATAAAAATAAAAAATATTTTTTGGTGGGACGTCGGACATTCGTTTGTGGCTTAACCGTCGGACCACAACGATAAAAATCTCGACAAAACATATACGATGAAGTCTCAACAAAACATTTACGAAGAAATCATGAAAATTCATGAAAATTCATGAGGTGAGAAAAGAGGTGAGAAAACGGGTGAGATGTCACCTCTTCACCTAAACATTATTTTTGGGTCATTTACGCTCATTACGATGAAGTCTTGACAAAACATTTACGATGAAGAAGTTTCGACAAAACATTTACGATGAAGAAGTTTCGACAAAACATTTACGATGAAATTCATGAAAATTCATGAGGTGAGAAAAGAGGTGAGAAAACGGGTGAGATGTCACCTCTTCACCTAAACATTATTTTTACTGAATTTAGCAACAAAATGAACGAGGTCAGGATGTATGTTGCTGAATTCATTCATAACACCCTTTGTAAGCTCATAAAATGCTTGTTTTGAGGTCGAGCCACTTTTGGCTCCACCGTATTCTTTCAACCTGAAGCATTTAATATATGTAAAAATATATTGTTTTAAAATGGTATGCCATATAGCTTCTTGAATTTGTTAAGAAGTATTCGAACGTATTTTCCATCTGTATCTCTAGTGTTTACATAAGCATAGCCCGCCTTAGTAAAATATACTTGTAATTTCCTATAGTTTACGCCGGTATAAAAGTAGAAAGAGTCTTGTTCTTCGCTATAGTAGTAAAACTCAAACGTATGCTTGCCATAGTCTGTAATTTCAATTGCTTCATCTTCTAGTTCGTCGACAAATTCGAATACAATATCTCTTAATTTACCTTTGTTCTTATTGTTTTCAGAATAAGTGACCCAACGTAAGTTTTCAAGTCTATTGTCGTTTCTTATATGGTTTATATGGTCTACAAAAGGTAAATTGTTAGGATTCAGTATAAAATGAGTTGCAATGACAACATGTTTAAGATAGTGTTTTCCACCCATCTTCATATCAGCATATCCGTCATTTCGCTCCCATTCGCTTAAAACTCTTTTTGTCTTTTTGTTTCTGACTTCAAATGACTCACAACAGTGAATTTCATATTTCTCATCTAACAAACAAGTTTCCCAACGGTCTTCTCCAACAAACTCAGCGTACATTTCAAATAAAATAAAAAAAATATATTGTTTTAAAAATAAATTGTTTTCAAGAGTTTTCTACGATGAAATTCATGAAAATTCAAGAGGGTAGAAAAGAGGGTAGAAAACAGGGTAGAGCTACCCTTCTACCCTAAACATTATTTTTACTGAATTTAGCAACAACTTTCTCTCAATTGGAGCTGTAGCATACTCTTTGCGTAAGCGGTTCAGACCTTCTTCGATTTGTATTGGAATTGGTAGTAATTTGGATTGAGATTGGAATTGCTGGAACTGAGGTGCAGGGGCTGGTGCTTTCGGTTCTTCTGGATTGAGATTGGACTGGGTTGGTGGGACGTGGGACATTCGTTGGTGGCTTAACCGTCGGACCACAACGATAAAAATCTCTGCTCCTAGCAGTACTGCTACTGACAGTAGCAGTACTTTTTCTGACAGTAGCAGTACTTTTACTGACAGTAGCAGTACTTTTTCTGACAGTAGCAGTACTTTATCGTCGAAAACCCTCTCAAATTTTCCTTTTTACTGCTCGTAGCAGTACTTTTACTGCTCCTAGCAGTACTGCTACTGACAGTAGCAGTACTTTTACTGACAGTAGCAGTACTTTTTCTGACAGTAGCAGTACTTTTTCTGACAGTAGCAGTACTTTTACTGACAGGGAGCAATGGTCGAGGTCGAACCTACCGACGAGGCAATTTACCTAATTGAAATTAACGAGCTTGTTAAAGACTTCCTCAGGCAGAATGTAAAAGGCAAGCTTGTTAACTGTTGGATAACGGGAAGGGCTGCCTTGAATCTCGAGACTTCGACTGGAATTCCAATTCAAATACCAGACGGGACAGCCTACGACGACATAAAGCAAGCAAAGAAAGAAGCTCTTCTCAAGTTCTTTGCAAGCGTCCTTGGATACAACTTCCAACCAGAGAGAACCCTTTCCCAAGAATGAGCCAAATTCTCAAGGGTCTCCTTCACTTCTCGGGTCAGCCGTTCTACATAACCTGTGAAGGCGACATCCAACCAGTTCAGTAAACCTTAACGTTTAACTTCACTTTTTTATGTTTTTTGTGAAAGTGTCAAAAATAAATTTTTTATTTCATGCAATGTTTTATTTCTGTGCCGTCTTCAAGTATGCCCCAATATTTCCTTTTCGATATTACATGAACTTCGGTGAAAATTTTGTCCAATTTAAAACAGCCCATCTTTTCACCGACCATTCCCATTTCAATGAGTTTGTTGTATCCTTCTTCGTTCGTCATGAGTGCGTCAATGTTCTCATAGTAAACCTTCACTTTGGATTTGACCTCAGAGAAGAATTTGTTGTAGTTGTCAAGGACTGCCTTTGCGAACTGAGGATAGGACCAATGTTCGACAATAGGTTTTACTGTGGTTACTAAGCCACCTTGACCTTGAGTAAATTCGTATTTCAAAACAAAAGGGGAGAACCTTTCAACAAAGTTGTCGACCTTCTCATAGTGTTTACTCTTCATCGCTTGAGGTTTCTTAATGGAATACCCCCATGTCGAATTCATAAGCAATTTTAATGTCATTGCAAGTTTGGGGTTTGAAGCTTTCCTAA